ATACCGTTAGAGCGGTAGGCCCACAAGGGGTTTTATATTTGGAACCAGTTACTGTATTGCCCCCTCCCTCTGAAAGGGAAGAAGCGAAGGTGCAACGCTTATCTGGAAATTAGACGCTCTGTAGTCAGCTCGTCTAATATAGGTGGTTTGGGTCAGGCTAAATCTTGGTGTAAATAGTTTATGCCAGACACCGGTGTCCTGTCTTGACTAGCGTGTCTAGGTGTAAATTTCGGTCGCTAGGTCAGGGAGGCCGGCGAGACTAAGCAGATTTTGGTGTACATTCCGTCTGCTAGTTCTCAACCTATCTTGGCTAAGTGTGCGCGGTTGTAAATGCAGCCACTAGACTATTGATAGAGTAGATAGACTAAATGGGTACTGTTGTAAATTCCGCCCACTAGTTCGCTATATGTGGTGCTTGGGCAGCGTAGACTAACCGAATCCTGGTGTAAATAGTTTGATAGTTCTCGAGGTGCTGGCCAAATAGAATAGTTGGGATTATTGTAAATGTTGTTAAATATACTGTAGTTGGTGAATTGGTGAATTGTATGTCCTGCTAGAAAGCTTGAGCTCTGCCGTCTAGTGGGAGTGTAACTTGTATGTATACTGTATAATAGCGCACGGTATTATAACCATTAACATGTACTATAACTACTGACGTTGTGTAAAAATTACTAAAAACTGTTGTCTTATGTTATCTGTGACTTTAAAACTGTATTATAACCACTTGCTAACCGTACCATAACCACTGATTGTAAAGATGAGGTTACTAGAATGGGATATAATCCTTTATAGTCGGTTAGTTAAAAGTTGATTTATAATGTGGATAATTGTAGGGTTTGATTTATAGTTACAGTGATAAGTATCTAGTGTTTGGTAAATCTTTGTGAGTGAGACGTCGTGATATCACTGTATGTATGAGAATTCTCTGCGTGTTTTCGTGTGTGTGTGTTTGACCTAGCAACTGTGCCACATGGTGCCGTTGCCAGGGAAACAAGTGTGATCGTTAGAAGTGTGTTTGGGGTATTGTGCTTCTTTGTATTAGACGCTCTGTTGCCAGTATGGGTGCGTCTGATTTAAAGATTGTTGATCCCTTGTCGTGTATGTTGAAAAACTTTGCAAAGGGATATAAAGTTTGTGATTTTGGGGTGAAATTATCACCAAAGCGTTTGACTACATTATGTAGTAGAGAGTGGGCTATCTTGGTGACCGCATGGTCTCCACGTGGTAGTCTTGATCTAACTCTAGTGCAACGTGTGCACGCGGTTGTATCTAGTAGGCCTGAATTCTATGATCAGTTTCCGTATATTGATTTTTGGAAACAGATTGTGGAAGAATTGCCTTAATGGATTAAGATATGCCATGAGGAGCAATGTCGCCTCATGGTGGCCAGGACTTGCCTGTCCATCAGGGCCGCAACCCCGTCCATTTTAGGCTCTCCCTCTAAGTCTGAACTTCCCTCCCCACCCCCTTACTCCTCCTCTAAGGTTAGAGGAGGTGCTGCTGGTGTTGCCACTCCCCCTTTCCCATTGTCCCTGCCCACTCATTCATCTAGTTTAGAGCCCAACCCACTTGCCCTGAGTCCTCCCCTTCCTGTACCTACCTCCACTAGTTTTATATATCCGGAATTAAAGTCACTTCTGGTTCCTGGTCAGGCTCCTCCCAGCCCGGCCCGCAACATCCTGTTGACTGAACTTCCGCCCGGTAAAATTAGCCCGCCTCATTCTCCTTACCTTACTACCCCTAGACCGGAACTTACTATAAAACAGCCTCGCCGAAGTCCTATATTAACCCGACAGAGGACCACTATAGCCACCCAGACCACTTCAGCTTAATGAAGTGGTCTGGGTGCCAGGTCCAGCTAGGGTTAATCCTTTTTTTTTTTTTTTTTAAACATAGCAGTTTCAGAGAAACTGCTATGTTAGGGTTAATCCAGCCTCCAGTGGCTGTCTCTTGACAGCCGCTAGAGGCACTTGCGTGCTTCTCACTGTGAAAATCACAGTGAGAAGACGTCAGTGTCCATATGAAAGCATTGTGAATGCTTTCCTATGGACTGGCTTAATGCGCGCGCGGTTCCTGCCGCGCATGCGCATTCAGCCGAAGAGGAGGAGAAGAGGGAGGAGAGCTCACTGCCCGTTGCTGTAAAAAGAGGTAAGTTTAACCCCTTCCTCTCTACCCAGCCCGGCGGGAGGGGGCCCCTGAGGGTGGGGGCACCCTCAGGGCACTATAGTGCCAGGAAAACGAGTATGTTTTTCTGGCACTATAGTGGTCCTTTAATCCAGAGGCCCCTGAGAATTCTTGAATGATTAACTCAGCATTTGTCAGCCAGGCAGTGGCATACTAAGGGGGGTGGAGGGGGCGGTCCACCCCGGGTGCCACCAGGGTGGGAGGTGCCATGACCAGGAGCGCCAGCCCCCCCATGCTGCAGCCGCCCGAGCGTTCTGTAGAGAGCCTCAGGTGGCTGCAGCTTTGCCCGGGCTGGTGTGTCCAGGAGGGCGGACCGCCCGGGCGCAGCCTGAGGAGAGGGGCTGACAGGAGGGAAGCGCTCAGCGCTCCCTCCTGTCACTCCCTCACTGTAGCGTGGCCGAGCCCAGTATAGTCTGCGGGTACAAGGAGCATCTGTCTCCTGTACCCAGCCGGACTAACAGGAAGTGCACTTCCTTTTAGTCCGGCTGGGTACAGGAAACAAAAGCTCCCTGTAACTGCGGACTATACTGGGCTCGGCCACGCTACAACAGTGGTGGGGGGGGGAGAAAGAAATTAGGAGGAGGGGGGGAGAAAGACAAATTGGGAGGAGGGGGGAGGGAGGGGGAGAAAGACAAATTGGGAGGAGAGGAAAGACAAATTGGGAGGAGAAAGACAAATTGGGAGGAGGGGGGGAGAAAGACAAATTGGGAGGAGAAAGACAAATTGGGAGGAGGGGGGGAGAAAGACAAATTGGGAGGAGAAAGACAAATTGGGAGAAGGGGGGAGAAAGACAAATTGGGAGGAGGGGGGGAGAAAGACAAATTGGGAGGAGGAGAAGGAAATTGGAGGGGGGGGGGAGAGATTGACATTCATCACACACAGACACATACACACAATGCACCCCTTGCACACAGAAAAACACACAATGCATTACACACACAGACACACATACACAAGCAATGCAACCGTTACACACAATGCATCCCTCACACACACAGAAACACACAATGCATTCATTACACACACTCAATGCACCCCTTACACACATTCAATGCATCCCGTACATACACAGAAACACACCTTACAGCCCTTACACATACAAACACAATTTCAGACAATGCATTCCTTACACACATATCAGGACATCCCCTACACACTCCACCCCCTGTGAACAAACTCATTGGTGGAACATGAAGGTGGACCCTGGGACCCAGACCTTGAGCTGTGTAAAGGGCTCCCAAAAAATGGAGCTGCTTCCCGTTCTCCCAGAACATTGATTTTTGTGACCACAGTTACAAACCACCTCCAGAGAGCCTGTTCTACACCAGACCAGTGGAGCCAGACTGCAGCTAGAGCCCATCATCATCCTCATCTGGTTGTAAGTAGGCAAGCTAGTATATTATTTGTGGCACTAAGCTCTAATTTACCTCACATTAAAGAAACACTATAGTCCCCAGAACCACTTCAGCTTAATGTAGTGGTTCTGGTGTCTATAGCCTGTCCCTGCAGGCCTTTTAATGTAAACACGGCAGCACTGCAGCACTGGCGTTAGTTAACATGGCAAATCATATGGGTGGGGCATTGTGATGTCACATGGCGGGGGGGGCAGCAAACTTTACTTTTGCACCAGCCCTGGCTGGAGGGGGCTGTGTGAGCTGTGGCCGTACAGTACCCCATGGTAGTTAGGGTGCCGTGTGGCCAGTACAGCTCACACAAGCAAACAGCTGATAAACTAGTTGCATGGAGGAAAAGTGGGGCGGAGCTAAGCAAAATTGGGGCGGAGCCAAACTGGCATTGGGGGGGGCTTAATATGGCCCTTACCCACTGCTGTTAGGAGGTGCAGCAAGATGGAATCACTGCTTCTCCACAGGCTTCAGAGAAGGACTTCAGGGAATCCAGTCCTACTCCATCCCACTGTCTGTAAGTAAGAGTGTGTGTCTGTGTGTGTGTGTGAGAGACTGTCTGTGTGTAACTGTCTACCTGTAACTGTGTGTGTGTCTGTGTGTAACTGTATGCCTGTAACTGTGTGTGTGCGTGTGACTGTCTGCCTGTAACTGTGTGTGACTGTCTGCCTGTAACTGAGTGTGTGACAGTATGCCTGTAACTGAGTGTGTGATAGTCTGCCTGTAACTGAGTGTGTGACTGTCTGTCTGTAACTGAGTGTGTGACTGTCTGCCTGTAAATGTGTGTGTGGGGCTGCAGGGATTTTGTAGAAGGCGGCAGAGGTTTTGTATTGGGACAGGAGTCTTTATAAGGGGGGATAAGCAGGTGATTTGTGGAAGGGGGTTGCGGGGTTGCGGAGGTTTTGTAGACGGGGCAGTACAGGATTTGTAGAAGGGGCAGGACAGAGGTTCTGCCCCTTATCAGCTAATGGAGCTAATGGAGATTGCAAATAAAGTGTATATGAATAGGGAAACTGAGATAAAGCGGGAGGAAGAACGTAAAATGAGGAAGAAGGCAGATATGCTAGCGGTAGCTATCACAAGTGTAGAAAGACAGAGAAGGGAAGTGAATAAAGGAGTCGAGAATAGGCTGAGTAAGGGACCTTTAAGTAGGAATCATTGTGCGTTTTGTAGAGAGGTAGGACATTGGAAGAATGAGTGTCCACAGAGAGAGCATTATGAAAATAATAGACAAGGAGAGAGAAGAGTACGGGGAGTTTATAGTGGTAGTTATAGAGGAAGAGGAAGTTTTGGAGGAAACGGTAGGAATAGTAGAGGGAGTGTTCAAGGAGATAGATATTATCCACCTACTCAGAGACCAAGAGGATAGAGATTTTGTGGGTCTGGCTGACACTATCATGGAAGACTATTGATACCGACTGGGCTCCATCCCCGTTGGCCGAGCGGTATTGGTGCCAAGGGAAGAAGAATGGCGCTTCTACTCCATAATGACAAGTGTAAACCCTAAGAGTGATGAACCTTTATTTGACATTCCAGGAGTATGGGCAGAGAATAATCCACCTGGGTTTGCTCGTAATATTCCACCTATACATATTGAACTAAAGCTTGGGGCCTATCCTGTGAGCCTACGTCAGTATCATATACCTCAAAAGGCTAAGAAAAACATACAGACCTACTTGGATAAGTTCGTAAGGTATGGCATCCTAAAATTCTGTACTTCCCCCTGGAACACTCCATTATTACCTGTTCAGAAACCAGGATCAGATGAATATCATCCTGTACAAGATTTGAGAGCAGTTAATGATGCAGTAGTCAATATACACCCAGTTGTACCCAACCCTTATAATCTGCTTGCTTTGATACCAGGTGGGGCAACCTACTTCACAGTTCTAGACCTTAAGGATGCTTTCTTTTGCCTTCTGATTGCTGCTGAGAGTCAGTGTATCTTTGCTTTCCAACGGGAAGATGCTGTTACACGTGTCCTTTCTATCTGTACGTACATGAGCAAAGAAGAATGGCTGTGGGAGTATTAACTCAGTATTTGGGATCATGGCAAAGACCTGTAGCTTATATGTCCAAACAGTTGGATGCAGTGGCCAGTGGTCTTCCACATTGTCTGCGAGCAGTGGCCGCCGCTGCCCTGTTGGTAGCAGAAGCTGACAAGCTCACATTGGGTCAGGAACTCTATGTGCGAGTACCCCATGCAGTACAGACCCTCTTGGATTACAAATGAAATCATTGGTTTAGTAACAGTCGAATGACCAAATATCAAGCTATGTTATGTGTAAATCCAAGAGTACACCTCAAAACTGTCAATAATTTGAATCCAGCTACCCTTCTGCCCCAGACTACTGAAAGTCAACATGATTGTTTGGAGATAATGGATGAAGTGTTTTCAAGCAGGCCTGATCTTCATGATTTCCCCATCCAGAATCCGGACATACAGTATTATACAGATGGTAGTAGTTATGTGAAAGAAGGTATACGTTATGCAGGGTATGCGGTAACAACTATAGACAAGGTGATAGAAGCACGGCCACTGTTGAAGGGGACATCAGCACAGAAGGCGGAACTAATTGCATTAACAAGGGCTTTGCAATTAGCTGAAGGGTTGAGAGTGAATATTTACACAGATTCGAAATACGCTTTTCTAACCACCCATGCCCATGGAGCATTGTATAAAGAAAGGGGATTGTTGAATTCAGAAGGGAAATAAATCAAGTATGCAGCAGAAATACTCCAACTGTTAGAGGCGGTATGGGAACCGAAGGAAGTCGGTATTATACATTGCAGGGCACATCTGAAAAGTGATAGTGTTGTAGTAAAAGGAAATCGCACGACCGATAGTGCAGTAAAACATGCCGCTGAATCCGGGCAAGAGGAATATGTGGGGTATTTTGCTGCCCTTGTGCCGGCACCTCTGTCTCAATGGACTCTGATATATACAACCCAAGAGATGGAGTGGTTGAAGACTGAAGCTGGGAAATACTTGGAGAATAATTGGTATCAGTTAGAAGATGGAAGAATAGTTATTCCGACATCTCTGGCTATAGAGATTGTTCAGAACTTCCATAATGGTACACATTCAGGAAGAGATAGTATGGAGGAATCTCTCAGGAAACATTTCTACATACCAAGATTATCCAATCTTACTCAAGCTATTGTTCGAAAGATGTGTTTTGTGTGCTCGAAACAATGCAAGACAAGGCCCTGTCAAACCCCCTGGAGTTCAATATATGGGAGGACTCCCAATGTCAGATTTGCAAATAGACTACACTGTAATGCCTAAATCTGGGGGATATCGTTACTTGTTGGTAGCTGTGTGTACCTACTCAGGTTGGTTAGAAGCTTGTCCAACTCGTACAGAAAAGGCAGGAGAAGTTGTACGATTTCTGTTGCGAGAAGTTATACCCAGATATGGACTTCCGTGTTCTATCGGATCAGACAATGGTCCAGCCTTTATCCATCAGTGTTTACAACAATTGACTCATGTGCTTGGTATTAAGTGGAAACTTCATAGAGCATATAGACCTCAGAGTTCTGTAAAGGTGGAAAGGATGAACAGAACAATAAAAACCCAATTAGCTAAAATGTGTCAGGAAACTCAGCTCAAGCGGAATGACCTTTTGCCAATAGCTCTGTTGCGGATACGTAGTACTCCTACCAGAAGAATGGGTCTGTCTCTCTTTGAAATCGTGTATGGGCGTCCACCTCCCATACTCAGTAATCTAAGGGGGGACTTGAATCAGTTGGGTGAAGGAATTACTCGGCAGCAGGTTGTAGAGTTGGGTAAAACTATGGAGGAAGTACAGAAATGGGTGCAAGATAGGTTACCTGTGAACATATATCCACCTGTTCATTCCTATCAACCGGGAGATCAAGTGTGGATAAAATAATGGAATATTGTTCCATTAGGTCCAAAGTGGAGGGGTCCTTATGTTGTTCTTTTATCTACTCCAACAGCTGTAAATGTGGCAGAAGTGACTCCGTGGATTCATCATTCTAGGGTTAAACCAGCGGCAGATTCTTGGCAAGCTATTCCAGATTCTGAAAATCCTTGCAAGATCCGGTTAAAGCGGGTAGCTCAGTCGGAGTGAGAAATAATACGAGGAGATATTGGGACATCTTAGTTGAAAGTAACAACAGATATCAGCAAGTAGGTGTTTTGCCGGCCATAATAAAGCCTGACCACCTACCTACGTGTCATAGCCAGAGTGTCTCGAAGGGACCTCTGTGAAGAAAAGTGAGAATCAGAAGAACGACAATCCTTGCAGCCCTCACAATTGGGAAACTGAGGTGCCGTCGCACGGTCAAAGAGTAGAAATGAGGACTTCTGAAATAATATGTTATTTTATGTGTTTAGGCATTTTTGTGATTTTTCAGGAAGGTAAAGGTGAGGACATACAGAGTTGTGTTAGCTGCATTAAGACTACAAAAACAGGTAACCAAATATCCCAAACTCTCATATGGCACTCACGGTATGAGTGTAGGGGATCTGTATCTAAGTGTAGATATTTAGACTTGTGTAGGGTGGGCGACCTGGGGAAAAACAGTGGATCAAGATATGATTATCCAAAGGTTGCCCACTACACCACACTGTAATTCTATGGAATGTAATCCTGTCCATATGACCATCTCTAATCCACAACATTTTATTGATAAGTTTGGAAATCTATTTGGGTTCCAAATATATGGCACAGGAGTAGACCCAGGGACCATAATATATGTAGGACTTGAAACTGAGACGATAGCAACTCAAACTCATCAGGTTTTTCATTCCTTTTATGAGGAGATGAGTGTTGAGGATAAAATTCCCCATAATGTTAAGAACCTATTTATTGATTTGGCTGAGAGTATTGCGGGTAGTCTTAATGTAACTAATTGCTTTGTATGTGGAGGTACTAATATGGGAGACCAGTGGCCATGGGAGGCAAAGGAAGTATGGTACCCTGGTTCTGAGACAGATGAACAACAAATACTTTCTCAGTCTGATCATCAAGTAAGTACTAGAGGTAAATCAGAGTGGCGGTTAAAAACCTCCATTATAGGTCATGTATGTTTAGCCAGGAAAGGGCCATTGTATACCACACCTGTTGGCGAGTTAATATGTCTAGGACCGGAAACCTATAATGCCGATACTAAATATACTACTTGGTGGTCAGCTTCAAATGTCTCAGAGCCTACTAATCCGTTTGCCAATTACACCCATTTAAAAGAGGTATGGTTTGACTTATCTGCTACATCCAATTGGAAAGCCCCAGCGAATTTATATTGGATCTGTGGTAAGAAAGCATATTCAGAGTTACCACAAGATTGGGAAGGGGCATGTGTATTAGGTATGCTCAAACCATCCTTCTTCCTGTTGCCAATTGAGACAGGAGAGACCTTGGGAGTTAAGGTTTATGATGTAAATCATAAAAAGAAGCGAGCATCCTTAAATATATAGGTAGCTGGGAAGATGATGAGTTTCCTCCCCAACGCATTATTAATTATTATGGACCTGCTACTTGGGCAGAAGATGGTACCTATGGATATAGAACCCCAATATATATGCTCAACCGTTTTATAAGACTACAGGCGATGGTTGAGATTATCACTAATGAGACAGCTCAAGCACTTAATCTTCTAGCTAAGCAAAATACTCGGATGAGATCAGCCATCTATCAAAATAGATTAGCTCTGTACTACCTATTAGCAGTAGAGAGAGGTGCACGCGGAAAGTTTAATCTCAGCAACTGTTGTTTGCACATAAATGATGAAGGGCGTTCAGTGGCTGAACTTACAAGCCACATGGTTAAACTGACGCATGTACCTACTCAGGTCTGGAATGGGTATAATCCTAGTAGTTGGTTTGGAAGTTGGTATGAGCAGCTTGGAGTGATTAAGGCGTTAGTAGGACGAGTAGTATTTATTATATTCTTATGTCTCTTTCTGCCCTGCCTAATTCCATTAATGGTCAGATCTATACATAGCATCATAGAGAGTACTATAGAAAGAAAGACAGCTGCACATGTAATGGCTGTCTATAGATATGAATCCCTAGCCCAAAGAGAACATATTCAGGATGAGGAATGCTGAAGGAGTTTGTGATGATGCTAAGATGCTTACAAGGTCTGCTCTGGTCCAATGGCTACTTGAGAGGTGTTGGTAAACTATGATTGGTGATGCATCTGGAATAATTTTGTTTCAGAGGCATCAAAGGGAGGAATGTGATGGAATTTCGGTGAAATGTAAATTTAGTAGGCTGAGAATTCCATGTGGCATATGTGTATGTTGTATCAGTTAGTTAGTTACACATAAGATACTGTCATCAATGTACTGAGCATGTGTGGGAATGCAGGAACTGAAATTACACTCCTTTCTCCTTTGTTTTGGATGAGCCATGTGGTCTGCCCATATAAGGAAATCCAAATCCCGTCCACTGATTGGTTAAGGGTATGTGCGGGTGGAGCTATTAATGGGAGGAGTTATAGTTCTATAAAAAGCATGTACTCCATGTGTTTGTCCCTCAGACCTGTTTTGGAACGTTAGTTCATCTGAGGCCCGATCGGTATGTTAATAAACACCTATTACTTCCTGAAAACCTGCATCCATCTCTCTGTGTCTGGCTTCTGCAAGTTTACTCAGTTACACAGCTTCCACAAACATAAGGATAACATGCAATATAACACAGTATTATGGCATTTGCATAAGCTGCACATTTTAAAATTTGTCTTTTATATGATTGTCGCTGAGAGCATGCTAAGTAAACAAAATTGGTAGACATGTTTCAAATTTGTTTAAGTAATAATGAACGCTAAACTTAGGGTGACTGCCCTGTTGCTTTAGTCGGGCCAATTGGCCAGTAGGGTCAGACGGATATTTACAGGCAGACCCATGAGGGTTACAAGCTTGCATCCACCTAGGCGGCGCACGTGTAGCCTAGTTCCGGCGACCGAGTGGATGGAGATTTCAAAGAATCACTTCTGAAAACCAACTTATTTACAATAAACATAAATGAAAGATAACGATACATAGGGGATTAAGGCCCGTGTAGTAGGGACCGTGGGCTTCAGCAGGCTGTGGGTTTGGCCAAGAGGCTTTAATGTCCCGTATATAAGCTGCATAGTGGGCACATGAATTAGCTCGCTATGCATGACGTGTGTGTGCTAAGTTAGTCAGCCTAACGCTAAAAATATATGTTTTAGTTGTCTTTTATGATTATTATCTCATTTGATCTGAGCTATATTGTGTTTTTTTTTTCTTTCACATGTTGCTGTATTTATTGGGATATTGAGACGTTTGGAAATAAACATTCCAATTATTATCAGTTTAGCACACCTATGGTGTATAGAGTTTTCTTTAATGGCTGGATCTCTCAGAACATGGCAGCAATTTTCCATACAGTAGTTGTAACAGATGTCTGGGTACACACAGGAATTATCCAATGCAGACTTTATTAGGAAAGAGGAGTTGGCAAAGTTTTAACTCTTTAAAAAAAATGTTTTTATATGCAATTATTAAAATATAATATCACAGCTATAATAAACTTTTATTTTCAATAATCTTAAAAAACTATGACCATTTTCTTTTAACCCCTTAAGGACCAAACTTCTGGAATAAAAGGGAATCGTGACATGTCACACATGTCATGTGTTCTTAAGGGGTTAAGCACCTATAATATCCCACTGGCCTCCATGTAGTGGTATGATTTAAATTGCAAATGTGGTAAAAACAACTTGAAGCTGAGAAGTATAGGCTTTACTGAACACAGTAGGCTAGCTCAATGAAGGATGTCAAAAAGCAAGGTCAGAAACAATCAGTCAGGTCAGGCAGCACCATAATGATAATACAGAAAGCAGATTGAAAAGTGTGGCAATCATTCATCTGTAATCAGGAGTCAAGCTGAGGGCAGGGGTCAGCGCATTACAGAAATAAAAGTCACATGCAGAAATTGAGCAAGGAATAATGAACAAAAAAAACTAAGTATACTAGAATTGCAGCAAAATATTCAAGGTGCAATAGTGAGGAACATGTGAATACGTTTGTTGCTAAATTATTGGAAAGCATGATAGATAGACAATTATTTCACCCAGTCTGTGGTTTTTATTGAGGTAATAATCATTACATACATGAGAAGATATAAAGTCAAAATGTATATAGATTACATTTGTTTGGTCATACTATTTAAAAAAAAATAATGTAATAAGGCTAGGCGTACATGTGGTAAACTCATAAGCTAAGTAGACTAGCTAGACATGGAGTTTGTAGGTAAATCTAATAATTGAGAGCAAAAGACATGGTATAATTTAGTGGTAGATTAAAACAGAAATTTATATCTAACACATGTTAGATATAGCGGTGTCTGTGGTTGAAAGTAAATATAGGCTAATAGCATTAACACATAGGAAATTTTGAAACATCAACTGATATGAGCCTTGCTGAGGTACAGTGGCTGCAATTTTGTGGCACAAGACAAAGCCCAGAGTCTTGATTAGCCCATGGTGGCTCTGGGTAAAGCACATTCCTACTGCAGATCTATTAACCAGAGAGTCAGCGGCTCTAGCAGGGAGATGCACGACCGAGGATCAGAATGGTCCCAGTATCGTATTATGGTCAGCAGTAGCAGTGTCTCCAACCACCAGTCCAGCATCAGGCCCCTTTCCTTGGGAGCATGGTCAGCAGCTATGGAGACGGTCAGCAGCTATGTGATCACCAAATGGTTGCCAGTGGAACTATCCTGAGTCTAAGTTTGTAGCCTCGAAAAATCTGCACCTCAGCAGAGCTAGGAACCACGGGAACCCCATGGTCAATTCTCATGAAGAGTAGTTATACGTGCATTGTTTGCAGGAGGATGTCAGCAACACTGAAATGTGGACCAAAAATCAGTGAATAGCCGGTCTAGGTTTGTCAGCGTAGGAGACAACTGGTCTCTGGGGCTGAGTGGGTGGCTGGTGTCCGCCATTATGCAAAGTGTGCCTCACCTGCAGCCTGCTTGCTAACATATTCAGCGACATGGACAGGGGAGGTTAGTGCCGGGATAACCCTCACCGGTGGAGTGGGGAAAAAGGACCCAGATAGGGACTGCAGATTTCAGAGAGTCCAGTGACAGAGGGATCAGCCACCTACCCCACTCCACTTCAAGTAGGCTGCAAACTCTTCCAAACTCAGCACTGCTTCAGAACTGAGTAGTCTAGAGCCCACAAGAATCTTGAGTGTCAACAACCAATGGTAAGTTGGTAGATGCAGGAAATAAATCGATAAAACCACATTTTATTTCTCGGTTTCTTCCGAAGCTCTGTTAAGATGCGTCCGATCAGCCTGACGGTCAAGCCCCTCCACCCAATAGGTAATTATTTCAAAAAGAGATGGTAAATTTTTGAAAATAATTATAGAAAAAACATCCAACGGAACAAACAATGTCACTCTTCCAGTCAATGACACTCATATGAGCATTTTAAACCCCTTAAGGACACAACTTCTGGAATAAAGGGAATCATGACGGAATATTTCCATCATGTGTCCTTAAGGGGTTAAGATATTACATTATACTTTCCTATAAACCAGAAGAGAATTGAAATGAATGACCAAGTCTATGCAATATTATGGTCTGCAATTTGTAATTCCATTGACAATTCTCAACAATGTCCCCAACCTAGTGAACAAACCCCTTAATAAAGTAACTAAAGTAAATAAAATATATAAACAAATAATTGACACAATTTGAACAGAACTATCCTCATCAAATAAGCAAAATCAGCTTTAGTTTTCATAATGGTCTGCTAAGGTGAGTGAACTAGTTCTTATTTGCCCCCTTTCCCTAGTTCTTATTTGCCCCCTTTCCCCTCCCTGTCCTAAATTGCACAATTTTATTTCTTTTAAGTTTTCAGTTTGAAAAAAAAAAGTATAAATTATTAGAACTTCAGGAAATTGTAGTATATCAGATTAGATGGGCCGAATGGTTCTTATCTGCCGTCACATTCTATGTTTCTATGTGCCTTAGCTGATCTAAATAAATAGATTGTATGCTCTTTCCTTAGAGGAGGTAAACTATGTACTATAACTGGAGAAAATCAGGCCAATTCTTTGTTCATCTGGCTCTGTATTTTTATAATTAATGCAGAATGTTCAAGAATTCTTTGCAAGTGCAAGTTATAATGTAACCACCTTCCCGAACACAGCCTCCAGCTTATAAAATAACCCCTCTGAACTCTGAAATTCACTGTGAATGGCACTCACAGTGCAGGACAAGTCAAAACACCAACAAAACAGAAATCTTTTCCGTTATCATAATTCCAAGTAACAGTACCTTTTTCTAAAACAAGATATATGTAACATTAAAGGGACACTGTAGTCACTATAACCATTTCATCTCTTTAAATTGGTTATAGTACCTGCAGTGCCCTGGCACTGACCCTCCAATCAGTGTTGCACCATGTTCATGCAGTATGCCACAAAATAAGAGTCCCTGGCCACCCACAGTCCGGCCCCTTCTGTATGTGTAGCTAAGGCAGAGATTACACACTTCTTTGTTGTCATACCCATTCATGCCGTCAGTTGGAGCTCTGACAGGCTAAAAGCAGTCAGCTGAAACTCTCAGCCAATCACAGCTGTCCATTTCTGCTCAGGCTAATATTTCATTATTAGCCAAAGCAGCACAGAGGGGATGAGCTGCCAGAGACTCTTGTTTAGCACTGAAACATTAAAAACTGTTAATTGCTGAAAGAAATGATGGTACCAGGGGATTCCAGACACTATAACCAGTTTAAAGAGATGAAACAGATACAGTACCAACGGTGTCCATTTAAGTAAATTTGTCATGTATATAAACTGCATGCATTCAGATACAGATTTAGTACAATTTGTAGCAGATATAGATTTACAAACAATAAAAAAAATCCATACTAAAAATTAAGTACAATTTGTCAATTTAAATTTTTTGGGCAATACTATCAGATACCAGAAAGGTTCTACTTGTATTTATTGTTTTTGTTTAGTGTGAACCAACCCCAATGTAAAGTATCGAGACTCAGCATGCAGGGACCTTGTAATAATACTTGAGATTATCTTAATCTCTTGATTTGTAGCTAACCATGATGCAGGCCTCACCCACTGCTGAAGCAGCTCACTGTGTTTAGCTTTACGAGATCATTGGTGCTCATCTCATGTCCGGTGTGTTCCTTGCTATTATCATAGTTGTGAAGAGTCTGCTTAAGAAGCCACAAATGTGCAAAATATTACCCTTTACTCTCCAAGGCTCTCCCCTCATGTTAATGTGTTTAAAAGATCACTCTTGGCACCATGACCACTTCAGTAACGTGTATGTTTAGCATTTAATTTTTACGTAAAACACTTTGCATCACAGCAGGAGGATCAAGCTGAAGGGAGAACTTGTACCCATCATTGGATTGTAGTTAAAGCTTTAATTCTATTTATTTATTTTTCAGGGTGGGGTGGGATTGGGCCAACAAACAAAACATTGTTTTTAGTTAGAGTAACACTGTAATGGAATGTTTGTCTTAATTTTACTCGGTGCTGTCGAACATTTAAAAAATCATTACTGTATTTTTGTATAGTCTTTCTTACAATGTAAATATGGTTTATGAATAATTGTATGCATGCATGCCATGTTACAGGCGTTAAAAGTCAATACATAAAGCCAGTGGCTGAGGTCAATTACCTACATGCCTTAGTGTATGGCCTCTGTACCTGGAATGTTAAACATTATGTAAATCCTGCCTTTGTAATCAAGCAGTAACTATAATATTGGTGTTCACCCTATGTCAGGTATCTTCTTCTCAATAGGTTTCAAGTCTGCTTAAGAAGTCGCTCATGTGCAAGATATAGCCCTTTCCTCTTTATAGTGGTCAGTACCCAGCCTAATTGTGTTCAGTCTTCTCCAGTATCATGGGACAAACCATTTTGCAACAGTTACTTTTACCTTAACATTACCATGGTTTTGGGGAGCGCAGGGTAACAACAAACAGCTTCTGTAGAGAAGCAGACAAATGCCGATACAGCTGCTCATGCATTGGCTGAGTGTCAGTTGATTACTCTAAGCCAAAGAATGAGGGTCTGCACATGGAAGCATTCACAGAACCAACATTAGCCAGCGAAGATCTCTGGTTCTGGGCTAGCTAATGATGGTCCATTGGCACTGTCAGAGGCAGAGTTACACCTCCAGCAGCAGGTTTAACTCATACCTCAAACATTGCATATACAGACTTCATGCACCATAACCACTTCATATAATTGAAGTTTCAATGGTGCTTGGAGTAACACTTGCAAAACTGTATTTTCTCAATTTCTTTTGCATATTTTAGAAAATGTTGATATTATAACATAGTTTTGTTCTTATTGAAGACTAGTTAGAAATAAACCAGGTGCATGTTATTCGAAGCCCTACCTTATATTATGTTACGTCACAATATCTCAAGCCAAGGTTTAGTATAAAACTTTGTCCACTCCTAACAACTTAAAATCTATAGCGGTAATGCTAATTCCATAATTATATATCTCAATTGGTTCTTGCATTATGCTAATTTTACATGGGTGCACTGCCCTTTGCACATAACCTACATACATTGATCAATTTCTTTAATGTGCCACTAATTGAACAGTGTTCTACCCAGTAATGTACTAATGGGGGAAAAGTCAGTTTGCCATTATGTCTCTTATTATTCCAATCTTTGAATTATCTCTCTCTTTCAGATGACACAAATAAGTTGGAAATATATAAGATAATAAGGTATTAATTATCTTTTTGATGATAGGGAGTGGCGGTGTGACACGTTATAAAAACCGAACTCTGAGATACAAAGAAATGTATGTTTTTACAGCTTGTCCCAGTGGTGTGTTTGGTAATTACATGTAGGTGATCCAAAGCTTACAAAAATGTCTTCATTTTGTTCATTAACTCTCCATTGCAGGTTCATTTCAATGGGCTTTAGTGCTAATTCAGCTCCTAGATGTGGAATGTGACTTGAGTCCAGGCAGTGGTGTATCCTGGTTTTGTGCTGCCCTAGGCAGGACAAAACTCAGGCGCCCGCCCCGCCTTCTAAATACACACACACACATTCACTGACAGATACGCATACACACGCTAACAGACACACACACACACACACTCTAACAGACACACAGTAACAGACACACACTAACTCACTAGCAGACACACACACACACATTAACAGACACACTAACACACACACACACACACACACTCACATTAACACATTTTTTTTTAAATTTACCTTCCCCTTACCTTTGGGAATTGTGGGGGGGATTTCTATCTCCCTGGTGGTCCAGTGGCTGCGGGCGGCGCTGGGCTGGCGAGGGAGCTCTTCCTGTGAGCTCTCCGCTCAGCTCCCTCACACGCTGCAGACTGAGGCTGGGAGCTGTAAGATGACGTCATATTCCGGCTCCCAGCCTCACTCTGCGGCGCGCGAGGGAGCTGAGCGGACAGCTCAGAGGAAGTGCTCCCTCGTCAGCCGCCCGCTCAGCATGTCTGTTATCCGCAAGGCTAACAAGGCATTTGGGGGCGGTGTTTTTTGCCGCCCCCTGAAAAATGCCGCCCAAGGCAAATGCCTTGTTTGCCTCGCGGCTTAAACGCCCCTGAGTCCAGGAACTCTTTTTTTACTGTTAGATCAAGAGAGGCTTTCTTTTTTAGACATTCTGGAAAACTGCTTAGTGGTTTTCAGGTTAAAGTAAAACTCCAAGCACCATAAACACTACAGGCGGGTGCCAGGAGAGCCTTGGCGCCGCCCAATGTAAAGCAGCCAAGCCATTTTAGAACTAGTGCTCACCAACCAGGAGCTACCATTGGCTCTCCAGAGCGAAGCCCTGTAGTGCAGGGTCAGCTCATTGACTGAGTCAGCTGATTGCTCTCAGCCAATGAGCTAACCCTGCACTGCCAGGCTTAGTTCAGACAGAGAGCTTCCAGCTCTCTTGAGTGGCACCAGTTCCACTCCAGGTAAGAAGTAAACAGTTCTCAAATTGCACACTGTAGTCATAATGGTGCTTGGAATGTTCATATTCTGGAGGTTTCCTCTTTTGGGTCTACCGCAGTACGTATATGTATTTTCTACAGTACCCTCATTAACTGCTCAACATTCCTGATACTACCTTGTTAGGAATCTATTCCCTTCTTTCTACAGAGTTAACTTGCTTCTTCCAGTAGCTTGGTTTGTAATAATCCAATGAGTATGACACTAACACTTTGTAACTTTTTATAGATCTGCTCATTTTGGTAAATTTTACTTTACTGTAATTTAAGGCTTATTCATGATGACCTATGTGATAGAACAAAATGGGATTGCCGACCAGACGTTTCCTCTCAGAAATAGTGGAGATATCCATTTATTAGTCAACTGGTTTTCTGTTCACACCTTAAAAATGTTTGAAGGGCTAATATAAGATAAACCACAGGGATTATTATATTAATGCAAAAGTATATGTGTGTATATATATATATATATTTATTCCTTATTTAATGCCGTCCACTACCTGGTCAGAAAAGTAGAAATGTTCCCATGAATTTTATTTTCTTGATTATCACTGCACTATTATGTTCACATTTCTGTGGGGTTGTGGAGCTTTGTTATACAAAGACTGTCTGCTAGGGATTGCGTTGTCATAGTTCTAATAATTTCTTCGTTTTTTTTCCCCCTGTCCTTTTTGCTGTGAGGAGAAGGCACTTAATCAACATTACCATGGTTAATGTAGTTGTTCTGGTTTCTACTGCCTTTTAATACAGGCTCTTTAATGTAAACATTGCCTTATCTGAGAAAAGGCAGTGTTTACATTACTGCCTATAACCATCTTTAGTGGCAGTCACTCAGACGGCCACTAGATGTGATTCCTGGGTCAGTGCTGCACAATGTGCACCACTGGCTTTCAGCATCTCAGTGTTCTGCATGGAGGTGCAGAACATTAATCCCAGAGATGCATTGATTAAGTACATCTTTACGAGGAGATGCTGATCAGTGCATTTTGGCATTCAATGTTTTCCTATGGGAAAAAATTGCATTGTCTGAAATCATCAAATCTGATGAGCTCAGCCAAGGAGAAGCAGGGCACTGGGATAAAGGTGAGGCGAAGACATTTGCATCCTTGACACTATAGTATTCCTAAAACAATATTTTTTAAAGCTTTCTTAAAAGGACACTATAGGCACATGCCTATGTATATACACAACACAGAGTTTAGGGATCACGCTGACATACCTAAAAAACCAAGGATATGACATAGTACAATATTGCCTGAAACAAACAGGTTTTGTAATCTCCCTCACAAATTTAGGATGATTTGAACGCCTTAGGAGTGCCACCCTCTATGTCAATAGGGGGCTAAAGCTCCTCCTTAGTGCTTACCAAAAATCGGACTAACAGGTTCTCAAAAAACTAATTTCAGAGGTACCGGTATTTTCCAAATAAGGATATTTATTAGCATATACATTTAAGAAATAAAGTGTACCAAGTGCTAAAAGAACAGGTCCTACGCGTTTTGTTCTCTTTTGAGAACTTCCTTAGGGACCAGTGCATATAAAACAATCAATTAAGACCTGTTCTTTTAGCACTTGGTACACTTTATTTATTTTATTTTTTTTAAGCTATATGCCAATAAATATCTATTTGGAGTTTTTAGAGAATCTGTCAGTCCAGTGTGTGGCAAGCACTAAGAAGGAGTTTTAGCCTCCTATTGACATCGAGGGTGGCACTACCAAGGAGTTCAAACCATCTTAAATTTGAGAGTGCAGTTGCAACACACATTTCTTTCTTTGTTTCAGGAAATATTCCACTGTTATATCCTTGTTTTTAGGTACATCAGCGGGATCCCTAAATTCTCTGTGTTGTATATATCTATTTTGGTCGGTTACCATCGGGTAGGTAACCTTGTGAGGCTGTGTATCTAAAAGTTAATTAACTTTTTTTCACAATTTACTGGTGTCACAGGTCGAATTGTTATATTTGCACCATGTCTATGTATGCATTCTTGTCCTCGCTTTATGAACCACTGAGTTACTCTAACCTTTCCCCTGATCCCCCTTCTACAACCATGTTTGATGTTTTGCTAGAGTTGCCCATTATCAAGGTTTACATTCATTTAAAATACACACTTGTCTTTTGCCATCATTTCCCCACTATTTTATCTTAAATATCTATTTTGAGATGAGCATCTATACTCAATGTTATGCTCTCAGAAGGTTTTTTTTTTTTTCCCCTCAAAAAATAAATAAAAAATCAATAAATAAAAAAAGATTTTACATAAAAATTGTAACTATCAAGTGGGTTTGCACAAATCAAACGGAATTACATATTTGTAAAAAATATATCATTTGACCTTTCTGTTGACAGTTATAATGCAAACAAAAGCAAACAAAAAAAGTAAAAAACAAAACACATTTTTGATGCAGTAGTCTGTGAACAATGTTGAATTTTCCATTATGTTGTGTGCTTTCCAGAATATACTAGAGCAGATAAGTCTATTTTTGTGTTTAATGCGATCGACAGTTCTTGTGCTAATAAGTGATGAAGGGAAATGCCGTCATGAGAATACACCCAAGTGGTCCCAGTCCAGTCATATCGCTTTGGTCCACTGAAACACAAATAATAAGCTCATTAGAAGAGTATATCCAACAATTAATTTATACAGGAAATAGGTAATGTAAATGAGATTGAAATGAAAATGCGATTATTAGGTGGGTATTCATACATAAATTGGCAAAAAGATATTCTTAAGAAACGTATATTACCAACTATTGTCTCGATCATACACTTCACATATATACTGCTATTGAACTGGAAAAGTTCATTCAATCAAGTTATATTAGGAGAGGACATGGGAGGAGACTTAGAACAGGTTAACAATAGATAAACAATTAGAGCATACTTGTGAAGTGACCATGCCATCTTAACATACAATAGCTCCTAAAGCAGTAAATATATAAATCATAGTGACAAACCATACTTTTTTTTGCTTTAGAATAGCAGCTACCCCTCTTGTGCCACCAGTCTAAAAAGTTTTTTTTGGTTGTTACACTGTTGTAACATCCACATTCTTGTTCTGCTGTATCTCAGATACAATTGACCCTTCTTGGGCACACTTCTGCATGTCCTCCCCAGTATGTCAGAGCACCACAAACACCCCCTGTGAGTGGAAGAAATGATTGCTGGTAGAGGAACGTTGTGGCAGCAATCCAATGGGGAGGGTTCTCCTGCTCTCCCCTGCCACTCAATTATTAGCTTAATCTTGCATGCCTCTGGCAGAGAGAGATTTTTGCATAGGACTTATTGATATTTAGGAGAGGGACATTAAATGTAATCCATACATTTGCTAGTATTTCTGCTGGCATGACGTAGAGATGAGAATTAAAGGGACTGTCAAATTTTTGCACTTTAACCTAATTTGCCAATATCCCTGATGGTAACTTCGCTGCTTGGTGTCTTGTGGTAACAGGGGAAGAAACGTTTTACCTACCTGCAGCTGTCCCTCAGTATCCATTATATCCTCTTCTGCTCTTGGCACTTCATCTGCCAGGAGCCCATCTCTGTGCTGTACTCTAATGCACGCACAAGAGTATAACACTGAAGTCTATGGTGGATCCCGTGAGAACCTCCATAGATATTGTCTCATAATTGAGTGGCAACGGCACTCAGACTTTTGTCAAGTGGAGACAAAGATAAAAGAATAAGGAAAAAAGAACAGATTAGAAATAGGAAGAGGAACAGATTGAAGTAAAGTAAGTATAGGGTGACAGAGCTGCTTTAAAGATGGTCTACCATGACAGGTATAGTTACATGCTTTTCAGCTTACCTGCCTTCAAACAAGTGGCACAGTTGTTAACACTTGAAATTCTTTTACAATTTAAGAATTATGTTAGAAACAAAGTGAAATATAAATCTGCACAATGTCAGAAAGAAACCTATGAAGGCTGATACTAGTGGATGAGGAGAGCTCTGGGCACCAAAGCAGACAACCAAAGGAAGTCTAAGGAAAATTTGTGATAAAAACAATTATTTTTCAAACTGCTTATAAATTTTGGACATTAAGCACAAGACTTATCTCCATTTTATAATTAGATATGACCTTTATCTAGTGTGATGAAAGGAGACTTCATTTAGCTTTACAGTGTGCTTGATTTATTATTTTTACCAATTCTTCTAACAGGGTCTAGATTTCTTACTTATGGTTAGGATCAAAAATATTTTGGGAAGTCAGCTTGAATAGTCTTGTCTACAAGATGCTGTGATAAAGTCCCTATTAAAAACGCCAAGTAGCCTGTGATGGAAATTCATTAATATTGCAACACAATCAAAAGGTGTTATAATATAAAGTGGGAATTAGATTCCAGTTTTTGGTAAAAGGCAGAAATTTAAAAGGCTTTTTCCTGCCAAACCTTGCCATGTCCCACCAACGAAAACTCCTGATAGAAAGGAACAAGTATCTTCTCACTATGTGCCAAACAGATGCCTCCAGCATGTCAATGCACATGTCCAAGAAGATATATGAAGGGTTCCACTAGAACCTCCATAAACCACTACTATTTTGATTGCACTATACAATTAAATGTTTCATGGTTTATCTGGGTGGGATAACTCTAAACACAAGTCATTTGTAAAGTACACATTCAAATGTCTAAGGTCTTAAGAAATCTAACATGCGTATTGCTCTAAAAAATAGATTTACAAAAATGTCCACAGTAATTTAAATTGTGTTTAAATAAGAGAACAGAAAAAGTTTCCATGGTATAGTACTTTAACCATTAAAGAGTATCTTTGACATTCCTCTCCTGTGCATGAAGGGTTATCAGACACTTCCTGCATTTATGATGTACCCGCCACATCCAATTTGCCAGATCTCCAGCTGTTCAAAGGACTCAACAGTGCAAGCTTATGAATTATGCAGCACTGCACGCAGCAGGCCAAGAAACATGCAGGCTGAGTGCATACTTACATTAAACATGTGGCCCCTCTGTGCAAGCAAATTAATTCACTCTTCAAGGATGCTCTTATTTGACCTGTTACCATTGTTTATTTAATTTCCTTTTCACACAACACTTGTGCTTCTTTTATTTAATGCCTTGGATATTAGAATATCCTCTGCAGGCAAATAGGGAAGTACATGTCTTCTGTTAATTTAGCACATCACTTAATGAGAGGCACAACTGCATGAAAGTCACTGGAATCACCTTGGCGCATGTAGGTAGCCTTAACGTCTATATTTTACATTATTATTGGTATTTATATAGCGCCAACTAATTCCGCAGCTCTTTACAATATATTTTCTATGTAATACATTCAGAAACCATACTGCAGACATGTAACATACAGTTGAAAGAAAAAGTATGTGAACCCTTTGGAATGATATGGATTTCTGTACAAATTGGTCATAAAATGTGATCTGATCATCATCTAAGTCACAACAATAGACAATCACAGTCTGCTTAAACTAATAACACACAAAGAATGAAATGTTGCCATGTTTTTATTGAACACACCATGTAAACATTCACAGTGCAGGTGGAAAAAGTATGTGAACCCTTGGATTTAATAACTGGTTGAACCTCCTTTGGCAGCAATAACTTCAACCAAACGTTTCCTGTAGTTGCAGATCAGACGTGCACAACGGTCAGGAGTAATTCTTGACCATTCCTCTTTACAGAACTGTTTCAGTTCAGCAATATTCTTGGGATGTCGGGTGTGAATCGCTTTCTTGAGGTCAGATCACATTTTATGACCAATTTGTGCAGAAATCCATATCATTCCAAAGGGTTCGCATACTTTTTCTTGCAACTGTAAGTTAAATAAGGATTTACCTGTAGTATTAGAACATACCTTGTAGGAGATGATAACCAAATCTGTCTGTTTGGTGTCTGCTTGTTAATTACATATGTCCCTTTATCGCTCCCAAGTTTAATTGTTAAAACCCCGTTCTGGGAACAAAAATCAAAAAGAAAAGCAGAATTTAGAAATCACTTGCTATACAGTAGGTACATTACTATTACAGATTCACAATTGTCGTTCTACAGGATATTAAGTTACCAATTGTAATAGCTTTATTTGTTCTGTATATTTACAGTTTCATTGTGAAAACACTATGGGGAACCTTACATGAAACCATTCAGTGATCCATTTCACTGTGCTATTCAAAAGCACAGTGGATTTGTATTTATTTTGTATGGAATATATTTTTATCCTATGGTGGATTTCTTGTAATCAAATTATCATGTTTCTCAGTTTGTAAGCAGTGGCTCACTACCATTAATCAAATCTCACCTTTCCTTACTACAGAGGTATATAAATAAAAGGTGGTTACCAAATCATATAACTCATCAAGCAGTGGATACTTTGGTCATGTTAGGTTAAAAGTGCCAGTCTAATGTTCATTAATCATTTGTACATGACCAGTCTAGTTTGTGTAGATAACAGAAAAAGAAATGTAAAACGGTAAATATATGGTCTGCAAAAAAACTAGAATTGTATACGTAGACAACTTGTAGTTTTCTCTATATCCTGAAAAAATAAGAAAATAACAGTGCAACCAGATAGATTTAGATAACCCCCTTAGGTAACCTATGTGCATTAACTCAACATAGAACTGGCTCTGTGACACTTAAACAGCCAAGCAATGAGAGATTCAGGAGCACTGGATCCAAAGTAATCTATGGACTCGTCAATTAATAAGGATGGAAGCCCCAGCTATGCAATATTTTGAGTTAATCCACATAGGGCACATAATATAATTATTTTCTCCACATTGTTGCACTATTTTTGTTGTATTATTTTTTCAGGCTATAAAGAAAACTACAAATGTGTAAGTATACCATTATACTTTTGTGTGCAGCATATACTTTGTTTTACAACCTTTATGTTTACCTTTTGTATGTGAGTTTTTTTATGGCTGCTGCATGTAATATCACTAAATATTGTACGGTTTAACATTTAAAGGGACTGTGTAGGCATCCAGACCACTTGAGCTCATTGAAGTAGTCTGGGTGCAATGTCCCATGTCCCTTAACCCTGCAATTGTAATGATTGCAGTTATTGTTCAGGTAAGTCACTGAAGGGGATTTTCCCCTTCATCGGCTCGAGGGGGAGGGGGGGGCACTGTAGGATTCTATAGTGCCAGGAAAACAAAGTTGGAAAAAAACTTTGTTTTCCTGGCACTATAGAATCCCTTTAACACTGCACTTTAAGAATTAGCACTTTTTTGTCACATGCACTTCTAGATTACCACCTATTTAACTCCTTTTTCTGAATTGTAAATAGTGTTGATTTAGAAGACTTGTATAATTTCTCTTGATATGTTTTATTCCATTTTATTTACCGACTGACCTTTCTGACCTTTTCTGTTTCATTAGTCACCAGAACAACTACTGCTTATTGTATTTTTTCTGGTAAAAACATTCCCTTCAGGATCTTTGCAGAAAACAGTCTTTTTAGGTAACTTGTGCAGGGTTTACACTACAGCCTAGTGATACCTTCACTGGGCACTGCTCAGATGGCTACTAGATGGGTGCTTCCTGGTACAATGCTGCACAGTGTGCAGCACTGCCATCCAGTGTCTTCTCCCTCTGCATGGAGACACTAAACTTTCCTCATAGAGATGCATTGATTCAATTCTCTATGAGGAGATGCTTAATGGCCAGGTTTGTGTTTAGCTTGTTCAGCCTCTGTCCATGATCTGCCTCAGCCAATCCTATGGAAAAAGCATTGTGATTGACTCAGAGAATCACTTCTGATGAGGTCAGCCAAGCAGGCAGATCAGGGGCCGAGGCAGCAGCTTCATACTTGAAAACAAGTAAGATTTTACTATATTTAGTGAGGCATGGAGGGAGCAGAGGGCGGATAGACTGGTTTTAACACTATAGGGTCAGGAATGAATGTTTGTGTTCCTGACCCTATAGTGTTCCTTTAAGTCCTTTGGTTTTTATTTGTTTCTTTTTAAATACATTTTCAAATTAGAAGTTAGATCTATCAAATTTCTGTAATGCCAATAAATCATAGTGTTCATTTCATGCCAATAAATCTAGCCCCACCTTTTCTCAAATATACATTTAAAGGTTGGTAGCAATCTCTAGGCTTGTTTTTACACATGGTTAACCAACTTAGATCAGGTTTACACTTTCATTAGGTCCCTCTTGATCTCTTGTGCGAACCCTACTATAACCTCTGCCAACCTGGTCGCTACCGTTCTATTTCTCTTTACCACCTCTCAGTTGAGAAACACTGCAATCTTCTTACTACACTCTTCTTCAAAGCAGTGCCCTCCATGTCAGAGGTGTATGCAACTCATCAGATTTGTCAAAAGTCAAGTTTCCCCCGCCTGGATCACTTTCCTCACCCATGTATTAATATACTTAAGCTCCCATTGCTTCCCTTGTTGTGTACTAAGACTATCAGGTCATCCCAGGCCCTTAGCAAAAAGATTAAGTATACCCTTTAAAGTGGAAGAAATATACACCAATGGGTGACTAAAACGTATAAGATAGTTTACCTATATGTAACTCCCACAATGTAGAGAATAAAGGACTCCTCCCAGTCCTCACAGAAAATACAAACAAAATAGATATCTACAAAAAGGGGAGAATAAAACAACTCAGAGTAGTATGTCAAGAACCAATAAGCATATAAGGTTCAAGGTTACACTCACACAAATTAATTGATTGTAGGCATGTCAGAAATTGTAAAGATGATGTAGAGATGATTTGAATTCTTCAAACAGATAGGAGTTGGAGTACAGGCAGCCAATAACACGATCTAAGAATGAAGGAGAGTGATCAGTCCCTTCATTCTTAGATCAGTCCCTGATCACTCTCCTTCATTCTTAGATCGTGTTATTGGCTGCCTGTACTCCAACTCCTATCTGTTTGAAGAATTCATATCATCTCTACATCATCTTTACAATTTCTGGCATGCCTACAATCAATTAATTTGTGTGAGTGTAACCTTGAAACTTATATGCTTATTGGTTCTTGACATCCCAGGCCCTTATATGACCTGCCAGCATTATTCCCTACTTAGTAAACTTTGTTGCCGTTGAGAGGGCAAAGTATCTGGCATTTGAGAACAGATTATGCTATATAAGTTAAATAGTGAATCTCCTAGAACAACCACCTGTTGTTGGAATGTGTTTTTATTCGTCCTTTTATGGGACTCAAAATAAATACGTTTTGAGAAAGGGGCGGCTTAAGAGACCGCTGTTTGATAAAGTTATCAGAATTTGTTCAATTACTGTAGCAGCCGAAGGAATCATTCATATAAGCACTACTCTGGGTACATCAACGTAAATAGCACCATCTAGTGACCAAACATCTATGCAATTGCAGCGTTTCTTACTTTTTTTTATATATAAAATGTAAACATGGTACAGTATTAAATCAGTCAGACCTAACAAAAAAAAATTACAACACATTTATGCTCAATGTGTAGCTATATGCATTTATATGTCCAGGTTTTATAAATAATCTAAACATAAGTGTCAATTAAATTAATAGAGAGAGAGAATGAGTGGTATGGTGATGGATTAGATCCTTTTAAACACAACAGTAAATACTTGATATAGACTTCATGCTTTGATTCAATAGTCATACAGATCTTCAAATCTTTTATAAGTACATTTTAAAAATCAGGGGCCTGACAGCCAAGATGGCTGGACGTATTTTCCACAAGCTCCCGGCACGGCAAATTGAGCTATATACAAAACGAAAAAGCTGAACAATTTTGACCCAAGGGGTTTTAAATGGCAAGCAAACTGCTACTTAGCAGCGCAAAATCTACTGACCCTGATCTTGAACTCCCTGCTTACCAGCACTCATGTCCATTCTCTTCAAGGCCTACTGGCCCGGCGTGCGGGCAGAGGTGAGAAGCGGCCAATCTCCTGACGCAGTGTGCAAGCTTTGTGGCGGCTTTCAAGAAGTCCCGTCACCCTCTCCCCCTCCCCCCTCTTTGGACCGGCGGGGGTCATCACAGTCCACATTGGCTCGCGTTCAACGCGCATCGCAAGACATTCCACTAGCCTTAGAAGCTGCGTGGTGCAACCAAGATGGCCACCGTGCAAAAATCTCAACAGTGCCGAGCGGACTTGGAGAGACCTCTTCAATGCACACTTCGACGATATCTGCCAGAGAATTTCGGAGCGCATTGCCCACAGATCTGACACACTTACCACTCCTGATACACAGCCAAGCCGGACCCATGATCCTGCCACCATGGAAAGGGGGATCCAGGGACTTAAGGTAGAGGCCCGGAGCCCAAGATTCATAGAGCTACAGTCCCAGAGGTACATACAGCACTGCTCACCCGGTCTGATGGATATGAAAGCGGGAACTACCACAGCTATGGAGCTGGTCTTTCTGCCGTGGTCCAGCATGGAAATTACCGGTCTCTGGAGGCCTCTATGTGGCATCGGATGAATAGAGACTACATTGTTATTTTCCTGTCAATATAGAGATTTCTGTTCTCCTCTCAGAACTTTTCAAGAGTGTTGAATACCCAGTGGCCATTAAGCTAATTTGTTGTTAACTTTAGTCTAGCATGTTTCCTATTGTTTTTAGAATCTCACCTTAGCCTACCTGACTTAGCATATAGACTGAATTATGTCACAACACAGAGTAGTCATTAAGCTAATACCAGCCATAAGGCTGTACATCTAGCTGAAACACATACCAATACTTTTACTCGGTAGACAGCTTGTCCTAACTCTTGTTTCTGTGTCTACACACCTCTGACCAAACTATTACTTCATGCTGAACAAGTGAGCTAGTAGGCTAAGCAACTCTCCTACTGCATTATATTTCTGTTTCATATAAAATGCACTTTAACAGAGTGTCATAATACTATTCATCCTGTGTTATCCTTATAAGCTTGTACTTGCTGTTGTGGCACTACAAGCATGTTTTGTACTTCTCAGCACAGAAAAAATAAAGAATGTAAAAAGAAAATAAATCACTGCAATACTATATTTGAACAGTGATAAACTTAGGACACTGTAGGCAAATGGCTTCATCTCATTGAGATGGTGTTCATATCAGAGTCCCCTGGCGGCATCCTTGCATTGAGTGTTAAACCATTTATTTTAAGGTTTACTAACCAGAGTCTCTAGCAGCTCATCTCCTCAGTGCTGTAGAGCTAACGAAGAAGCATTAATCCGTTAGTGCTTGAATGAGAGCCAGCTGTCAGATTTTAGCCACCCATTGCTGATATGACCAAGGAAGTGCTTTAGCAATATAACCAGTGGGGTCTGGGTTGTGGGTGGACAGGGACACACATTCAGTGTTAAACTGTTTAAAATGGTTTAACATTAATTGGAGGGACAGTGCCAGGCGACTCAAGGAAATATATCCAATACAATTAGAAACCGGTTATAGTGTCTATAGTATCCCTGTACATTTTCAGGAAATTTTCTACAGAAAATGCTGGCGTGGTAGGGGATTTAAAGGCTGCCTACAGGGTCTGCATTTGCTCTAACCTACAGAAGGAAGTCTACAAAATTATGTTTAGATGGTGCACCACCTGTGTTAAGTTGTTCTGTATGGGCAGGTCCTCCACTGATTTATGTGGAGAAAATGGGACATAAATCAACATGCAGTGGACCTGCCCCAGAGTCGTTCGCTTCTGGGAACATATTAGGGATCTTAAGGTCAAGCCAATTAGCCTTGAGTCTTGGTTCCCCTTCTTACTTTTTAAGTTGGTGGAGGAATTGCCCTCAACCAGTCAGAAATGATTCAATAAGATAACCATAGTACTTATCCTTAGCCCAGAGTTGAATGGGGGTGGGGAGAGAGGGTTATAGGGGTAAAAAAACAAAAAACCCCCAGTAATTTTACTTACCGTAAATTCTATTTTCCTTAGAAGAGTGGCAGTACTGCAAATAAGTGGGTAGTCACCTCCTTAAGTGGACAAGAAGCTCTGCAAATTAAAATAATTAAATTAATTCCTTTCTCCCTTCTTATAAAAGGCCATACCTCCAAGACATGTCCAGTTATCCAAATAACCATATGGAGACCAATCAACTGCAAAATTAATTTATTCTCCAATGGGAGGGAAACATGCAGTACTTCCACTCTTCTAATGAAAATAGACGTTACTGTAAGTAAAATTACTGTTTTTCCTGTCGTAAGTGGAGTACTGCAAACAAGTGGACTATAGCAAGATCCATGAACAAAAGCAAAGGATCGGAAATCAATAGGCCACCGCCTGGAGCACCTTCTGAGGAAGAGAATATTTCCAGACTGCAATGTTTGACAAAAGTATGCAGGGAAGACCAAGTTGCAGCTTTGCATAGATCTTCTGGAGATGCCGTAGATCGCTCAGCCCATGAGGTTGCCATTGCTGTTGTAGAGTGAGCCTTGACCGGGAACAGAAGGGAGAGATTACTGACCTTATAAGCCAGTTTGATAGTTTCAATCAGCCATCTAGCGATAGTTGGTTTAGAAGCCTCTTTACCTTTAAAAACACCTTGCAATTTGATGAACAGATGATCAGATTTTCTATGAGGAGTTGAGGAGAGAAGCTTCTAATACCCTCTAAACATCCAGGCAGTGCCATTTTTTTCTCAGAGTCAGAAGATTGAGCTCGGCAGAAGAAAGGTAGAACGATAGGTTCGTTAGGGTTTCGTTTGGAGAGAACTTTAAGCAGAAAAGAAGGTTTCGGGTGCAAAACTACCTTATCTTAGTGAAAAACTGTATATTCAGAGGAAGATGATAGAGCATGCAATTCTCCAACCCTCCTAGCCGAGGTAACGGTCACCAAAAATGCTGTTTTAATGGATAAAAGTTTCAAAAGGTATAGCATCCAATGGTTCAAAAGGAGTACTGCACATCGCCTTGAAAACAACGGATAATCCCATGTGGGAAAAGAAGAAAGCCTTGAAGGACGTTTCAGAAAAACAGCTTTAAAAAAACCTACCAATGAGCCTGTTGGATGCCAAATCTTGTAGCAGGAAATGGCCGAGGGCTGAAACCTGTACCTTAAGAGTAGACACACTAAGACCACCCAAGAACAGATGGATTAAAAGAGAGACGACCATTCTGTGAATACCAATGCAGGAACTTCTGCCAGATTCGGCGGTAAATCTTGTTCGTGGATCTGCAAGTGGAGGACAGAAGAATATCACTAATACTGTCAGACTCCTTGGTCTTTAAGAATCATCCTTGGAGCAACCATGCCATCAGGCGGAACATCTTTATGGTCTCCACCAGAAGATCTTTGTACTTCAGAAGGTTGCTCGAACAAGGGAGTTCCCAACGAGCTATTGCCATCCGATCGATGTCCAAGAACCAGCTCCTGTTTGGCCAAAAGAGGAAAATTGCCAAGATCCTGGCCCTGTCTGATTTTATTTTCTGCACAATGCGGGTGGATCAAAGCTACTGGAGGGAAAAGATACGCGATTATGAACTTTCATAGTATTGAAAAAACGTCCAGGACATAAGGATTATCTCCTCTGAGAATGGAAGCTATTTTTTGGGCCTTCGTGTTTCTTCTTGGGGCCGTAAGATCGATACCTGGTAGACCAAAACGCTTAACTAGCTTCGCAAAGATGAGGGTGAAGAGACCATTCTGACTGTGTCCAACACTATCGGCTTAGATCATCCGCGATTATATTGTCGGATCCCTTGATTAACGTTGTGGATATTTATTCTAGATTTTCCTGAGACCAAGCCATGATTTCTGGAGAGAAAACACCTTTGTACCGCCTTGTCGGTTTAGGTATGTGACAGCTGTGACACTGTCTGACTGAATCCTCACAGACCTTCTCCTTATGACTGGTTTGAAAGCTAAAAGGGCGTTCCAAACAGCTTTCATTTCTCTGAAATTGGAAGACTGTGCAGCTTCTTACGTAGACCATTTTACCAGCTGAAATTGGGATCCTAGATATGTGCCCCCCCAGCCTGTTATCGATGCGTCCATGGTAGTGACGATCCAACTTCTCTGTTGGAAGGATAGACCGAAATCTTGACTTTATCCACCAGTGCAGCTGTGTCTTTACCCTTGATGAAAGACTGATTTCTGAATCTAAATCTTCCTCACTTTTTGACCATTTGAAAAGGATGTTCCACTGTAAAGGTTTGATTTTGGACTTTACCCATTTCACAGCCAATGTTAGCGGTAAGAAGGCCTAAAACAGAGCAGGATTCTCTTCTCTCGAGAATCCTTCCTTCCCGATTCTTTTTCGTTTCTCTACTGGAAGGGTAATGGAAAGGAGCCTTGAATCCACCCATAGACCTAGAAACAATGTGCATGGAAGGGCACATCTCGGATTTCTCGTAATTGATTATCCATCCATGGTTTTGCAAGAACTGAACGGTAACTTGCAGGTTTCTTCATAGGTGTTCTGCTGAATCTGCTTTTAGGAGCCAGGCAAGGGACTATTGCGATGCCTCTCAGTCTTAGCGTTGCCGTTCATGAAAGAAGTAGCTTTGTGAAGACATGTGGGGCTGATGAGAGGCCGAAAGGCAGTGCCTTGAAATGGAAATGTAGTTGTTAAGACACCCCCAGTGTCTTTAAGCAAAACCGCCGTTTAGTCGACCTTCCCCGTCTGTAATACAAATAATCTCCGTTCGCATAACCTGTAGTGCACGAACCAACTGCAGGGGAAGCGGCAATCTCCCGACAGGGATCCGTGAACGGCTCCAAACTCCCGAACGGCAATACACTAACTGCTGCTAGCCGCCGAACAATAACATCCACCAAGCAGCTTTCGTTTCCATCCAGCAGTCTCTAAACGTGAAGAAGAAATCCCCCCAATAACGAGACAGAAGCTGCGCATTGAGGGTCAAACAGGATCTGGCTTTACTGGGGGCTACCTGCCCGTATTTATGCAGGTCTCCCACTTGGTGGACACTCCCCTAGGGGACCAAATGGGAGACTTAAATGACAGACAGACATGGGGACATTCCAGACACACAGTTACAGATTTTACCCACAATGCACTATGATCCCCTGCCCTCTGCCCTGGAGATAATTACCAAGTAACTCAATTATCTCCAGGACAAAGTCAGTCACCATTTTAAATATAAAACCAGAAGAGACATAAAAACATATAACTTTACAATAACCGAACATTTCCCATTCGTATCACATATCCTCAGATAGCCTGGATCTGAGAGCACATTACTAGCGAATAGCGCTCAGATCCCACACACATAGTTCAATCGCCATGGAGTCAAAGTTCTTAAAGTCTTTCGGTATACGAATGACTCCATGGAAAGGCTATCTGGGTTAAGTCCTTTTGTATGCTTCCAAACTACCGAACGGCCGGTATTCGTACGTTTTCATGGAGGCAGCCAGGCGTTCCGTTGTTTCAGCGGTGTTCAGCAGAAAAAGTGTCCGTTTTTAGTTCCATGAAAATAGAGCCGGACACCGCTGGGCTTTCGTGTGGTTTTAAAATGGCCGCTGCCTCGTGGTCGACATACGAACGACGACCACCCTGAATTCGTGTAATTGAGAAGTGTCTGCGGTTAACCACAACGTTCTAATTGGGATCAATAGGTTAACCAGCAGCACACTTCTCTCCTGGGTGGCCGTCCGTTCGGCAGGTTTGTTCTGGAAAAAACAGTCATTCATATGGCTGGGCTATAGAAAACAGCCATTCACACGAACAGGAAAGAAACAGACGAATACACCTGTAATAAACAGACAGATGGTTCTGTCACAGTAGTAGTTCCACCTTTCCAGATTTCACTGCAAACCTGAGATATCTCCAGGTAAGTCTATCTTCGCCTTGTAATACTTTTGTTGTAGAATGTGTGTCACTGATAAAATGCTTTCCATGCAAAAACTCTGATAAGGTATACAGGCATTTACCATCTTCAGGTCCAGAATGGACCGGAAAGTTTTGTTTGGCTTTTGGACCAGGAAAAGGCAAGAGTACATTCCCTGGAACTCTAAGTTTTGGTACCTTTTGTACAACAGCCTTATTTAACAGGGTCAGGGCTGCTGCTAGAAGAGCTGCTGATTTTTTTTCTTGACTGGTAAGTTGATACCAGAAATTCTGGGCCAGAGTCTTTGGAGAATTTTATCCTGTAACCCTCTGCTATAGTTTTCAATATCCACTGATTTGAAGTTGTTTCTTGTCATTGTGGAATGAAGAATCTGAGTCGACCCCCTACTCTTCTGGCGTCAAGATCTCTTTTTCTTATCTTGTTTGTTGAAGGGCTCTCTTTTGACATCTCTGAAAGGTCTACGGAATTTCCTGTAGTTGTCTTGGCCATGAAAAGGCCTCTGACCTTCTGTATCTGTTATCCCCAGACACCTGTGATCATGTGGGAGAGCTTTTTTGGTGCCTGCCATCTGCTTTATGATTTTTTCCAGTGGAGAACCAAATAAATTTTTTTTTCTTTTCAAAAGGCAGTTCACACAAAACCGCTTTTGAAGCAGTGTCTGCCATCCATGTTCTCAGCCATAAAGCCCTGCGGGCTACCGAAGATAAACCCATGATGAGGGCTAACAGCTTTAACATCTTGACAGTCATATCCAGCAAGAAAGCATTTGATAACCGCATAAGGTTGAATAAATGAGTCCGGTCCTTATTTGTATAATCCATAATCAAATCTAAGAACCGGAGCCAGAGATTTTGAGCTTTACCACCGCTGCCCCTGCAAAAGCTGTTTTGCATTGGTAGCCTGCAGCCTGGTATGCCCATCTACAAGAGGTCTCAGCATGCTTGTCCATGGGTTCTTTCAGACCCAAAACATCTATTGGAATGGTCATTTTCTTGGACAACTGAGCCACCTATATATTATCCACCTTAGGGAGATCTTTTCATCTATCTTCGGTCTGTAGCCTGCAGATCTGTTTAAAATGCTTGGAAATAAAGGCTCGTCTCTCAGGGTTTTTCCCATTCTCTCTGAACGAATTCTAGAACTCTGGGATGTGTTGGGAAACCTTTCACCTTACTGCTTGAGGATTCCACATCCTGAACCACAGCAGACACCTCCTTAATAAACCTCTTTAATTCCTCTGCCGGAAAGCCTTCGTCCACACTGGAGTCTAGACTAGAGACTTCTGATAAAAAAGAGCTGGAACAGTCTCCTGAAGAGAGGTTTGAATGTGATGAAAACTTCAGTCTTATGTTTTTTTATTGTGTGGCTCATGTCGTTTAACAGACCCACTATCTTCTCGGTGTCTGTAAAGAATCTGAAAGTCTGTGATAAGCTGTCTTGGAACCAACTTAAAAATGATCGCATCTCATGTTGCTTTGAATTGTCCAAGATTTCAGCAAAGCACTGGTAGCAAGTTTTTTTCTTACATCCGTCTGGAAGATGCACTGCACATTCACTACAGCACAATTGTTTGGCCTTGCATTTAGCCTTTTTGTCCGCCGGGGCTGGCAATTTTTCTTTATCCGTCTTGTCCGGAGATGCAGGGCTGGAAATATTCTGGAAAGAATATAAAAAATATTAAAAACATCCAAACCTGCAATAAATAACATTAGGATTTTTAAAGTAGAGACTTTAGTGAATCTCACCTCAAAACCTCACTACCGTGTGGGATGGCTGGTGACACAGTGTACCACGATTTACAACCACTCTGGTTGAAAGCAAGGCCATGGACAGCATAAATAGGCTTTAAATTTAGAATTTTGTGCCAAAAGTCAAACTTCCAAACCACGTGTGTGCAGTCGGAACTTCAGTGGAATGCAAGGCCATCCGGGTGTGCGTTCCACCGATGTGCGCAGGCGCACGGCCTGCATCTGGATATCTCATCTACAAGCATTAGCCGGCATAAATAAAAAACAACAAAAAAACTAAACAAAACACTTCCTTCCACTTACGCTCTGTAACACGATGTGGAAAGGCGCCACTCAGCTCAACCACCCGGGAAGCTTTCGGGTCCTGTTCCCCAGGCGTCATCTTGTGAGCCTCACCAGCCTTGTACTGAGCGACTTGTCCGCCCAGAGATCGGGACAAGAAGAACTGGGTATGTCTTGGAGGAATTGCCTTTTATAGGTAAGGATGAGAGAATTTATTTAATTATTTTAATTTGCAGAGATTCTTGTCCACTTAAGGAGGTGACTACCCACTTGTTTGCAGTACTGCCACTTAAGACAAGAAAAAATCCTCACATTTACTCACACAATTTCAATGCCGATTTCCCCAACATCATCCGGAAAGAAAATGGGAGCGCCTTATGCACTCTGCGTGCATGCACCTTAGGTGGGAGGACCTAAGGCGCATGCGCGCCAAGTGCATAAGGCTCTTCCCATAGGAAAGCATTGCCTTGTACACTCCTTGTTTTATTGATTGCATGTAATATTCTAATTTACTGAGATTGTGGATTTGGGGTATTCATGAGCTGTAAGCCATAATCATCGCACTTATGACAAATCACGGCTTGAACTATCTGGCTTTGCATGTAATGCGTCTATCTCATATTAGTTTCTCCTTTTACGTTGCATTACTGAAATAAATTAACTTTTGCACGATATTCTAATTTTTCGAGTATCACCTGTAGATTCCAGATAAAGAATGCAGATGGAAAGAATATGCATTTAGAAATGTTTCAAAATGGATAACACAAAAACGTATATCAGGGCCTGCATATTACTTGACAAAATGTAAAAATAACATATGACAAAAATGAATCAATATACAAATGGAAAGGACATACCCCAAAAGTGACATCATAATCATTTTGTGTAAATGGCTCATCTGCCAGATCTTCAAAATATTCAGCTAAAGAGTCCAGTGTATCTTCTGCTAACTTCTCATATGTATTCTCATCTAGGGTACTAAGAAATGGCAACAAGGTGAGTGCAGAACCACACAGACAGAAGACAGAATACATTTTTGAGACCCAAATGGATACCTCATTAGAAGTTAATGTTACTACAGAAAATACACAATCCTGCAAAGTCACAAACGCCCAGATCTTTATATAAAGCGGTCAGCTTGCTGGTGGTAGCTACCTATGCTTGATTGATGTGATTATATCTTCTTACTAACTGCTTTCATTCATGACATCAGCAGACATGCAATGGCAGTTCCAGGAGGGGTGTGAAAAGGAGCCAGGTAAGCTTTACACAATGTAACATTTGTATAGTAAATTTAAAAAGAGACAAGAACAAAAAAAACTCCTTAAGCAAATTACAGTATTTCAGTAATTGTCACCACTAACACCACATTCAGTATGGAGTGCAGTAATTTATTCCCCTTCTATCCCCCAAACATCACTGTTCCAGGAATATAGTAACAATCACTTATATCAGCACATATGCAGCTACGTCTATTAGTCCTTTTTAGATGGATGTCAATTTCACATGGCCCACTTGCCAATATTTGATCATATATGGTCTATAGTTATATTGTTCATTTTTACCCCAAAGAAGTGACAACTGCCAGCATGTTTTGCACGGTTTAGAACCGCTGTACTTTTATTTGGTACTCTACTTCATTCTGCATTAAAGGCTCACCCTCAAACCTGATCACCATTAGATGCCATAATGAATTTTGAGGATCCAGCCTTCACCAGAGGAAACTATAAGTTGTGTCAGGCAGAGAAGGTGAAGCCTCCCCGGAGCTATTCTGGAAGCATGTGAACCCACTAAGATTTGAGAAGAGGATGCAAAACACATGGGACTGCCTGATTCCAACCTATATTTTACCACCTCCAAGATATTTGGATTGAACAGCTTATTTCATATAATATGAAAAAATATACATTAATACAGCATAGGCGTTCCCAGCAATCCGATAGAAAATATATGTGTATAATAATGAATAGTAAAAAAATTTAAGATGAGTTAGTGCATTAGTCAAAATCAAGTGATTATGAGCAGCTAGCTGATCATTGAGGATATACAATTTTTAACTGAACAATCATTGAACAACAGTTTGCCTCACTGATAAAGGGTAAATGCTGCTTCACACAATAAACATATTTGGCACAATGATCACTAACATTGTTTTACAGATATTATTTTAATTGGATCAAATTTACTTAAACTGACTATAGATTAAATACTATGGAAAAAAAAAAAAAAACAACAAAAAATCAGTTTGTGAGAAATTACACCAGCAAACCACAACTTTTATTTTCTGTCATTCTCTGTTTTATTGAGGCAATGATAAGGTACAGTACACAAAAAAATGGAGTAATAGCATACACAATGAGGAGTATATACGCTTTGCTTTAACATAAATATGAGTGCATCAAAGTATGTATACAGAAATCAACTCCTGGCCAAGTCTGCCTCATTTTAAAATAATTTTAAAAAGGCTAAATAAGCACGTCCAGTCAGAGATTAAAACATACAAGAGGATATGTCTGTTCATACATGAAGATAACTAGTTGGGCATGTACATGAATTCAACAATGAGTAACAAGAATGCTATAAACCCAGTGGGTATAAGGTAACAGAAATAAAATCAAGCAGACAGAAATCTCTACTGGTCTAAACTAATTATCATGAATTGGTAAAGATCCTGCCTAGGTCAGCCTGCCAATGCCACTTAAGAGTCCGTATTATATAGTACAGCTTGGTTCCAGGCTCAGACTTTGCTACTTGCACCCTCCATACTCAACACAGAAACAGAGAGGCCTGTGGCATCCGTGATTCCGCATTCCCAGGCACCCGGGAACATAAGGGAGAGACTTCCAGATTAAGCTGGTCATACTGACGACAAAGGATTTCAGATCTCCGCAGTCGAGGTGAGTAGTGGCGAATACACTGGAGTGCACAATTAAGTACCGCTGTCCACCACTGCGGGTTTCTGGGCGTTCTCCTCAGCGCCTCTCTGGACACACGCAAGGGAACTTTACACAAACGGCTTCGTTCGGCAGGACTTTTCCATGGAACCACAGTTTGTTCAAAAGAGGTGAAGGTAACCATTAACAGATTTATTTAACCAATCATTGTTAACAGGAGTAGTCCCAGAAGACTGGAAGTTAGCGAATGTTGTGCCCATTCACAAGAATGGTAATAGGGAGGAGTAGGGCAACTATAGGCCAGTAAGCCTTACTTCAGTAGTGGGGAAAGTGATGGAAACCATGTTAAAGGATAGGATTGTTGAACACATAAAAACACATGGATTTCAAGATCATAGTTACATAGTTACATAGCTGAAAAGAGACTTGCGTCCATCAAGCTCAGCCTACCTCACATTTGTTTTTTGCTGTTGATCCAAAAGAAGGCAAAAAAACCCAGTTTGAAGCACAATTTTGCAACAAGCTAGGAAAAAAATTCCTTCTTGACCCCAGAATGGCAGTCAGATTTATCCTTGGATCAAGCAGTTATTACCCTACATTGAAAGATTATATCATTGAATATTCTGTTTTTGCAAGTATGCATCTAGTAGCCGTTTGAACATCTGTATGGACTCTGATAAAACCACTTCTTCAGGCAGAGAATTCCACATCCTGATTGTTCTTACAGTAAAAAAACCTTTCCTTTGCCTTAGACAAAATCTTCTTTCTTCCAGTCTAAACGCATGGCCTCGTGTCCTATGTAAAGTCCGGTTTGTGAATAGATTTCCACACAATGGTTTGTATTGGCCCCGAATATATTTGTATAATGTTATCATATCCCCTCTCAGGCGACGTTTTTCTAAACTAAATAGGTTTAAATTTGTTAACCTTTCTTCATAGCCGATATGTTCCATTCCTTTTATTAATTTTGTAGCCCGCCTCTGCACTTTTTCTAGTGCCATAATATCCTTCTTTAGAACAGGTGCCCAAAATTGCACAGCATATTCAATATGGGGTCTTACCAGTGATTTATAAAGAGGCAAAATTATATTCTTGTCCCGAGAATGAATGCCCTTTTTCATGCATGAGAGACAACATGGGTTTACTTCAGGGAGATCATGCCAAAGTAATCTTATTGATTTTTTTGATTGAGTAACAAAATTTATAGATCAGGGTGGTGCAGTAGACATTGCTTACCTAGATTTCAGTAAGGCGTTTGACACTGTAGCACATAGAAGGCTTATCAATAAACTGCAATCTTTAAGTTTGGATTCCAATATTGTTGAATGGGAAAGGCAGTGGCTGAGTGACAGGCAACACAGGGTTGTAGTCAATGGAGTATATTCAAAGCTTGGGCTTGTCACCAGTGGGGTACCACAGGGATCTGTACTTGGACCCATTCTCTTTAATATATTTATTAGTGATATTGCAGAAGGTCTTGATGGTAAGGTATGTCTTTTTGCTGATGATACTAAGATATGTAACAGGGTTGATGTTCCAGGAGGGGTAAGCCAAATGGCGAATGATTTAGGTAAACTAGAAAAATGGTCAGAGTTGTGGCAACTGACATTTAATGTGGATAAGTGCAAGATAATGCATCTTGGACGTAAAAACCCAAGGGCAGAGTACAAAATATTTGATAGAGTCCTAACCTCAACATCTGAGGAAAGGGATTTAGGGGTGATTATTTCTGATGACTTAAAGGTAGGCAGACAATGTAATAGAGCAGCAGGAAATGCTAGCAGAATGCTTGGTTGTATAGGGAGAGGTATTAGCAGTAGAAAGAGGGAAGTGCTCATGCCATTGTACAGAACACTGGTGAGACCTCACTTGGAGTATTGTACACAGTACTGGAGACCGGATCTTCAGAAGGATATTGATACCTTAGAGAGAGTTCAGAGAAGGGCTACTAAACTGGTTCATGGATTGCAGGATAAAACTTACCAGGAAAGGTTAAAGGATCTTAACATGTATAGCTTGCAGGAAAGACGAGACAGGGGGGATATGATAGAAACATTTAAATACATAAAGGGAATCAACACAGTAAAGGAGGAGACTATATTTAAAAGAAGAAAAAACTACCACAACAAGAAGACAGTCTTAAATTAGAGGGACAGAGGTTTAAAAATAATATCAGGAAGTATTACTTTACTGAGAGGGTAGTGGATGCATGGAATAGCCTTCCTGCTGAAGTGGTAGAGGTTAACACAGTAAAGGAGTTAAAGCATGCATGGGATAGGCACAAGGCTATCCTTACTATAAGATAAGGCCAGGGACTAATAAATGTATTTAGAAAATTGGGCAGACTAGATGGGCCAAATGTTTCTTATCTGCCGTCACATTCTACGTTTCTATGTTTCTCTTTCATTGAGCATTGCTTAGAATGATGCACAAATGATGCTCACTTCTACTGCCGTAAACAGATTAATTGGCCTGGGATACATAATCACACCAATCAAGATTACTAATGTGGCTGGCCTGGTAATGTGTACCCTGAAAAATTACTGGTCTATTTAGAAGAACAATTTAAAAACAGTGATCATAGGAGCTGAAGTCAAGGAGACAATGTCTGAATGAGAGTTTTGGGGTCCTAAAAAAATGATGCTGCAGTTTTTTTTTAGTAATCCCACGGGTCGTCCTGGGATTTGGAAAACATAAAATTAAAAGCATGTGCGCTTTACCTGCTACTTGTTAATGTCCCTGTTCTTCTGCTGTTGTGTAAGTTAGCATTCATGTGGTTAGATTCCAGCAGTTGTCTACAAGTTAGGAGATTTCCAGCCTACAAAAGAAATGTCAATGAGAAATGAAATGTATTAATATTGTACTGTCCTGCAGCAATTTGTGCATGACAGAGTGATTTTGTAAGCTATAAACTATTGTACTATTGCACTAGCAAATATATCACACTACATTGACAATCATTTATTTGCTTGTCTTGTGTCCATAAGAGATTTAACAAAGGTTCTATTAAGGGATGGTAACATCTTTTGGCATCACTGTCAATTCTTCTTCAAAGCCATTCCAGAAGTCGTCACACTTGTAGATGGAGACTGGAAAAAAGTTATCAAAGAACATGGACAATGTACAAAAACTCAAACTAGCCCTGCAGTTTGTCCCAGTTCAGATATCAAACAAGTGTTAGCTCACTTGAGCCATTGCAGAAGGAATCTATACTATTTGCTTGTCATATTCATACACACAGCTGTTTTAGCATATTTGCATATGGAAGATTCTTAACTCCAGGCTGATCATTATAAAAAGCACTTGTTGCACAATCTTTCTGAAAATTTGTACCATTCCTGTAAAGTGCCCTCATATGCCTTGTCCGTTATATGACCATACAGAGAAAATATTAGACCTAAAGGTTTCCGTGAGTTGACTGCCCATATCATATGTACACCCCACCAATGTTTAAAAGCCAGCAATGAGCATTTACCTTACTCCAAAACGGCTGTGATTTGTTTAAAGATAATATGGTGAATAGAACTAAATCACACTATACTTTTTTCCTAAGGGTCTGGCGGTTTATGCTCCTTATATCAGGTTGCAAGTAGGTCATAAATGCATGCAAAGCTGGACTTGGAATGAATTTGGCCCAGGTATTTTTTTTAAATCACAGCGGGCTAGTGAAATGGGTTGGGGCCAGAGAAGAGGGTGTTGTGTCACGCCCATGCGCAAAGTCCTGCTGAAGAGCAGTCACATTAGCAAAAGGTCTTGTATTTGTCTCTGGTGACTCCGTAAGAGGGATACCAAAGATCAAAAGGGATTGCCTACTGGCTGCTTGTGGGATTCTTTGTGTGCCTGCAAACCCTGGCGGTCTGATGGTGTAACTCTAGCCCACAGCCAGTGGCGTACACACAATTCATGGGGCCCCCGGTGCGAAACTGATCCGTGGTCCCCTGTCCCCTTATTCCCCTCACACCCCCCCTCCCCCCAACACACACACACACAGATATATATATATATACATACAGACAGGCACAAGACACAAGACACATATATACATACAGGCAGACACAAGACACATATATACAGGGAGTGCAGAATTATTAGGCAAATTAGTATTTTGACCACATCATCCTCTTTATGCATGTTGTCTTACTCCAAGCTGTATAGGCTCGAAAGCCTACTACCAATTAAGCATATTAGGTGATGTGCATCTCTGTAATGAGAAGGGGTGTGGTCTAATGACATCAACACCCTATATCAGGTGTGCATAATTATTAGGCAACTTCCTTTCCTTTGGCAAAATGGGTCAAAAGAAGGACTTGACAGGCTCAGAAAAGTCAAAAATAGTGAGATATCTTGCAGAGGGATGCAGCACTCTAAAATTGCAAAGCTTCTGAAGCGTGATCATCGAACAATCAAGCGTTTCATTCAAAATAGTCAACAGGGTCGCAAGAAGCGTGTGGAAAAACCAAGGCGCAAAATAACTGCCCATGAACTGAGAAAAGTCAAGCGTGCAGCTGCCACGATGCCACTTGCCACCAGTTTGGCCATATTTCAGAGCTGCAACATCACTGGAGTGCCCAAAAGCACAAGGTGTGCAATACTCAGAGACATGGCCAAGGTAAGAAAGGCTGAAAGACGACCACCACTGAACAAGACACACAAGCTGAAGCGTCAAGACTGGGCCAAGAAATATCTCAAGACTGATTTTTCTAAGGTTTTATGGACTGATGAAATGAGAGTGAGTCTTGATGGGCCAGATGGATGGGCCCGTGGCTGGATTGGTAAAGGGCAGAGAGCTCCAGTCCGACTCAGACACCAGCAAGGTGGAGGTGGAGTACTGGTTTGGGCTGGTATCATCAAAGATGAGCTTGTGGGGCCTTTTCGGGTTGAGGATGGAGTCAAGCTCAACTCCCAGTCCTACTGCCAGTTCCTGGAAGACACCTTCTTCAAGCAGTGGTACAGGAAGAAGTCTGCATCCTTCAAGAAAAACATGATTTTCATGCAGGACAATGCTCCATCACACGCGTCCAAGTACTCCACAGCGTGGCTGGCAAGAAAGGGTATAAAAGAAGAAAATCTAATGACATGGCCTCCTTGTTCACCTGATCTGAACCCCATTGAGAACCTGTGGTCCATCATCAAATGTGAGATTTACAAGGAGGGAAAACAGTACACCTCTCTGAACAGTGTCTGGGAGGCTGTGGTTGCTGCTGCACGCAATGTTGATGGTGAACAGATCAAAACACTGACAGAATCCATGGATGGCAGGCTTTGAGTGTCCTTGCAAAGAAAGGTGGCTATATTGGTCACTGATTTGTTTTTGTTTTGTTTTTGAATGTCAGAAATGTATATTTGTGAATGTTGAGATGTTATATTAGTTTCACTGGTAATAATAAATAATTGAAATGGGTATATATTTGTTTTTTGTTAAGTTGCCTAATAATTATGCACAGTAATAGTCACCTGCACACACAGATATCCCCCTAACATAGCTATAACTAAAAACAAACTAAAAACTACTTCCAAAAATATTCAGCTTTGATATTAATGAGTTTTTTGGGTTCATTGAGAACATGGTTGTTGTTCAATAATAAAATTAATCCTCAAAAATATAACTTGCCTAATAATTCTGCACTCCCTGTACATACAGGCAGACACAAGACACATACATACAGACAGGCAGACACAAGACACATACATACAGACAGGCAGACACAAGACACATACATATAGACAGGCAGACACATACAGACAGACACATACAGACAGACAGACACATACATACGTACAAAGGCACAAACATACAAACAGACAAGCACACACATACATACAGGCAGACACACACACATACAGAGACACGACACACATACAGACAGATACACACATACACATACATACACACAATGTTTAAGTCACCCTCCTGTTTCCTACCTTTTAGGTGCAGGAGGGTGACTTTCCCTGGGATCCAGTGGTGGCTCACGTGGATGGGAGTCAGAGTTCCCACTCTGACTCCCTGTTCTTCCTCCCGCACGGGCTCGGTGTATGCTGGGAGGAGTGACGTGCAGTCCCTTTCTCCCAGCTTGTGATGTCATCACAGGGGGCCCGTTCGTGCTGTTAAAGCACCCAGCACTGACCGAGCCCCCTGACAATCCATATCCATCGGGTGGCCCTGACAGCATGGGCCACCCGATGGACCCCTTGGACAGGGGCCCCGGCGGTTTGCCGGGGGGGCGGGGGCCGCAAAAGATGGCGGCAGGCACCCTGTCGCAGAGGTCCGCAGGGCGGCCGGGCCCCCTGGAGTGACGGGCCAGATTGCAGCCACGACCGCGGTATGTATGCCAGTGCCCACAGCTCCTCTGGAATAGATAATTCCGGTTGCTCCTCCTCCCTACCTTTCCAATAGTAAAATGCCTATGGGCCAGTGAGGGAGAGCTCCCCACCAGCCACTGAAGGCACACAGCAAGGCCAGAGCTTCAATAGCACAGGCTCTGCATGGACCGGCAGGGGAGATCCCCTAATCTCCCCTGTCAGCCTCAGCCCATGGCCAAGCGGCTCAGTGGGCATTTGCCTGGTTTTCCCTGATGGCCCTTTCAGGTCTAAATGCATGTGTTTTCTGTATGGAAGTTCAGTCACTGGTCAGATCAATTCTTTTACAGTTGATACATATTCTAAACTAGCAACTAACCTAGTATTACTCACATTTAACCCCTTCAATGGTCAAATCAAGTAAAAACTTATGAAATCTAGTCTATAAAGCCTCACATGCCATCATTTCTACTCTAATTTTGATTACTAGCCTGTAAATGAATAAATTTCTCTGCTAGAAACCACTGATATAATGCCTGTAAAGTTGCTGAAAATGTAAGCCCAACCCCCCTCCCCCACTTTGAAACAGTACAGGTGGTTTCAATGGGTCATATCATTTCTAGTCAATCATTAGCAGTCCAGAAATCGATAGAGTTTGCTACAGCAGCTTTAAAATAAACTTTATTTTAGAAAGAAATGGAATTTAACCCCTTAAGGACGGAGCCAAATGTACATGCTGTGAATGAAACAAAATGTAAACAAAACCTGGCATTTGCGCTACATGTCCGTCCAACCGTAATACACCTCTTTCATAGTAAATACACCCACCCTTATTATATATCATTTTATTCAGGGGAAACAGGGCTTTCATTTAATATCAAATATTTAGCTATGAAACATAATTTAATATGAAAAAAATGGGAGAAAATAAGTTTTTTAATTTTTTTTAGTTCTACATGACATTTTAACTGTCAATGTCATAATACTGTTTGCTTTTACAGCAATAAAATACACATTTGTATTCAGCAAAGTCTCACATGTAAAACAGTACCCCCTATGTACAGGTTTTATGGCGTTTTGGGAAGTTACAGGGTCAAATATAGCACGTTACATTAGAAATTGAAATTCGCCAGATTGGTTACGTTGCCTTTGGGACTTTATAGTAGCCAGGAATGAAATTTACACCCATAATGGCATACCATTTACAATAGTAGACAACCCAAGGTATTGCAAATGGGGTATGTCCAGTCTTTTTTAGTAGCCATTTGGTCTACATATATATATATATATATATATATGCAGGAGGCAGCCTACCCGGCCATGTGATTGTGGTGTCCTCGCAAAGACCCCACACTCTCACAGTGCGGGGGGGGCACCGGAGGAGGAGGATCTACCATGGGGGGGCTCCCTGGGAGTCCACCCCACCACGATCGCCGGCGTGGGACCGCCGGCGACCGGGTAAGTAGGCAAAAACCAGAGGGCGTACAATTACGCCCGGCGGCGTTTAGAGCCGCCTAAAATAGGGCGTAATTGTACGTCCTCCGGTCAGAAGGGGTTAAATGTATTTACTGTAACATAGAAACATAGAATGTGACGGCAGATAAGAACCATTCGGCCCATCTAGTCTGCCCAATTTTCTAAATACTTTCATTGGTCCCTAGCCCTATCTTGTAGTTAGGATAGCCTTATGCCTATCCCACGCATGCTTAAACTCCTTTACTGTGTTAACCTCTACCACTTCAGCTGAAAGGCTATTCCATGCATCTACTACCCTCTCAGTAAAGTAATACTTCCTGATATTTTTAAACCTTTGTCCCTCTAATTTAAGACTATGTCCTCTTGTTGTGGTAGTTTTTCTTCTTTTAAATATAGTCTCCTTTACTGTGTTGATTCCCTTTATATATTTAAATGTTTCTATCATATCCCCCCTGTCTCGTCTTTCCTCCAAGCTATACATGTTAAGATCCTTTAACCTTTCCTGGTAAGTTTTATCCCGCAATCCATGAACCAGTTTAGTAGCCCTCCTCTGAACCCTCTCTAAGGTATCAATATCCTTCTGAAGATACGGTCTCCAGTACTGAGTACAATACTCCAAGTAGGGTCTCACCAGTGTTCTATACAATGGCATGAGCACTTCCCTCTTTCTACTGCTAATACCTCTCCCTATACAACCAAGCATTCTGCTAGCATTTCCTGCTGCTCTATTACATTGTCTGCCTACCTTTAAGTCATCAGAAATAATCACCCCTAAATCCCTTTCCTCATATGTTGAGGTTAGACTCTATCAAATATTCTGTACTCTGCCCTTGGGTTTTTACGTCCAAGATGCATTATCTTGCACTTATCCACATTAAATGTCAGTTGCCACAATTCTGACCATTTTCTAGTTTACCTAAATCATTTGTCATTTGGCTTATCCCTCCTGGAACATCAACCCTGTTACATATCTTAGTATCATCAGCAAAAAGACATACCTTACCATCAAGACCTTCTGCAATATCACTAATAAAAATATTAAAGAGAATGGGTCCAAGTACTGTATGTGGGCAAAATACCCAAACACAGACATTTTTATATTGAATTGTAACTTTTAGTATGCTGTATTGCTAGTAATGCCTTAAGAGTCCTCACAAATACTTATAAGCAAAGTATTTGACCATCTTTATATATTTTTGTGACTTTTACTGTATGTGATAACATTTTTTTTTTGCTTTTGCACTAACATTTCAGACTCTGTGAAATATTGCAAGAAGGCCACTGTATACTGTCTAATACTTCCCTCAAATATTTTCATAAGGATTAACAAATAAGGGAAAATAAATTGTGTACATTTTTTTTTTTTTTTTTTAAATCTTTATTTTAGTGAGGCATTTACGCAAAACAGTATAAAGAATGACAATGGAAAGTTGCTCGGCCCTGAACGCAGTCAGGGGGAACGAGCTTCCGTAAAAAGTAGCCTCCATTTTTCTTTTTGTAACAAGTATAACACAACATTGCAGGTATTGGGTACAATCAGTTAACAACGTATTAGGATAATATGCAGTGTATATGTGACAACGGTTATTGCTTCGTATACTTAGTGGCCTACAGCTCTACAGGCCTGCGACCCATAGGCCCGGATCTCTCATGCAGGCTCTCATGAAAATTTACGGCATGTAACATATATCAGGCTTTGTCATGGTGCAACATTACAATCTTATATGGGGTCAGTGTGTCTGGGATATGCAATGGGTTTGTAATGGTGACCTGTCCGTTTCTCTATTGATTAAGACATCATGTGTGTATGTGGTTAAGAGAAAATTGTCACGCTGTGTGAGGTCTGAGCCGGGAGGCCCGAGATGTGAATTATGCGTTCTCTGTCGTGCGTGTGCGGGTTAAGAGCCCTTGACCAAGGGGGTTGCGGGGGCGGGGGGGTGTTCGGTCCGCCATGTAGTGTGGTCTCTACGTCATCCGACCAGGCCGGCTATTTCTTAAATTAGTTTGTCCTATTAGAGGGTAGCAATAGGGCAGCAGCTAGAGATATATGACAGATATTAACTATGAACATAGAAATAAGAGTGAACTTAAATAATGTATTAACACATGTGTAGATAAGTGTTCATTCAGGGCTGTCTGCGCCCTGTGTGTTCATCGATCGTGGGACGAACGGTGGTATGGACGCAGGGTCCCTCATTGCCGCCTGTGATGCCGAGGTGGAGGGCACATCAGCTTGCGATAGTCCCAAAGTTTCCAGGAAGGTCGGTGCATCCGTCATGGATGTCAGGGTGTGTGTCGTCCCGCCTTGGGTCGTAGTCAGGGACCCATTCAGTCCCCATCTGTATTGTAGCCCCGCAGCTCGCAGTTGTGCTGTCACCGTGCTGTATGATTTGCGGTGCAGGAGAGTGGCCCTTGTTAAGTCCTGGAAAAAAGTGAGACTTGCGGTTTCAAAAGTGAAGGGGGTTTTGCCCTTCATAGCTGACATAATCTGTATCTTGTCCGGTAGTGAGGTGCAGCGGAGGATGACATCTCGTATCGCTGTGGACTTAAAGTGAGAAGGGCTTGGGAGGCGATAAACGCTGTCGATAGCTACTCTCTTTGCCTTTGCATGTGGCAGGATTGCGGCCAGCAGTCTCCTGATGTAGTGGGGTAGCTCTTCAGCCGTAATCTCTGTGGGGATGCCCCTGATTTTAACATGGGTTTGCCTCTGGCGATCTTCTAGTGAGGTGAGCTTAAGCGACAGAAAGTGCTGCTGCGTGTACAGTGTCTGTATGGAACCCTGTACTTCGGAAAGGTGAGATTGTACCTCTGTTATGGCCTTTTCGTTGGTTCCAACCCTCTCCGACACTGCACGGACCTCCGTTTTGAGAATGGCCGAGTCGGCCGCGAGTAGCTTATGTATTTCGGTTAGTAGGAGTTTTAGGTCCTTTTTCGTAGTAGGAGCAGAGTCATCGGGTGGGTCTGGAGGCCCATCTCGTTGTGGTGGTGGGTGCGGTGATCCCTCGGGCCCAGTTTGGTGTGGCGCCGGGGCCTGCTCTCTTTCTTCCACGGCGGGAGGCCTAGGTGGCGGTGGCTTCTGGAACATAGTTCCTATGTCCCTAGTTTCTGCCGAGGTGTGCGTCCTCTGAGAACGCCTACCCATGCTTGGCAAGCTCTGGGATGAAGCCTGTACCGTGTGGGTGTAGGGTTGTTCCGCTCTTGATGCTGCAATTTCTCCCAGGAAACTCCCCAGGCCTTGCAGCGTGTTGTAGGCCCCGGTTTTGGGTTTCCGTCGGGCTGGCTTTGGCGGTTGGAAAAAAGGCATCTATCGATGCTATACGTTCCTCTGATCACAGCTGGGATTGTGTGGAAGCCGGATTGGAATCGGTTTAGCAGATATCGTCTGGATTCGATTTGCAGTTTTGGGAGCTTCAGAAATGGCGTCTGGTCAGGACGCTTGGTAAGCCCCGCCCGAAATAAATTGTGTAAATTTACATAAGTTTAATACTTAAGTTCTTATGCAAAGCAATCTATACACAACTTTACTATGCTATGATGTTTATATGTTAGCTATATTTGGTTCAAAACAATGTTATGCTAGTGGGAGGATTAAAGTAGCACTGTTACTTGTGGGGCCATTCATTTATTGAGCAGACAAGCGTTGCAGGTGATGTGAACACTTGCATGGTGAAGTCTGGGGATGAGGTAAAGGGCGGTGAACATACCTAACCCTCTTTAGCCCAGCACCTTTGGATACTGACTGTTAATGCTACCTAGAGCGGCATCCTCTTTGTACACACATTAATACTGTGCAAGATTAGAAGTAGCTGCAAAAATCATAGCACCATGCTTAGTTGTTCTTCAGAAGGAACACTGAAATGCCATAGGCATCTATTGTGAGAAAATGCCTATTCTCATACAGTATTGATAGCCGAGGCTAATAAAAAACGGCAAACAGAAGCAGATTTAAATTGTGCCTTTCCTAAATAGTAGTGAGCATGAAACAAAGTGGTTTCTATCTGAACTTATGCACATATTTTGATAGTGTTTTAGTCAAATATCAAACACTAGTTCAAGTGCCAAGTGTATTGTGATATATTAGAGCAATTCACTAATATTGAACTACCTCTAGACAGTAAGCTCGTTTGAGCAGGGCCCTCATCTACCTATTGATCCTGTGTCACTGTGAAATTGTCTCATTTATTGTAAATATACCCCTTTCATAATATTGTAAAATGCTGCGGAATTAGTTGGCGCTAAATAAATACCAATAATAATAATTAAAACTGCAGTCTTTGTTGATTCTGTTCTAAGTAGTACTTACTTAAAGGGTTACTCCAACCTGTTTAAGGGGTGAGTGAATTCTGTGCAAGTCCTGCGGAAGCACCGCTAGTGGCTGTGTTACGGCTCCCGGCCCGCCGCGTCTGTGCTCGACCGTGCCGATAAAGCAAGTTTACCTGCTCATCGGCGAGCCGGGAACCGCTCCTCTGCGTCTTCTGGGCAGTTTGCCCAAACCAAAGATGGCGCCGACCATGTGGTCGCATCCAAAGGCTCCGCCCCTAGAAGTTATACGGACGTCAACGCACGTTCTGGGGTCCGAGGACACCCTCTGACCAATCAGAGCCCAAAGAGGGATATTTAAAGTCCCCGTTTTGCCCCAGTACCTTGCCTTGTCGTGGTTTCCTGTTCCTGGTTTCCTGAGAGTGCGTTTTTCCCTGTGATATTGATATTCTGGTATTCTGATCTTGGCTGTTCCTGGTTATTCCGATTTCTGGTTCCCCTGACTTGTCTCGTGTAAACGGTATTGTGTATTTCTGGCTTCCTTGACCTCGGCTTTCCCATTGACCATTCTCTGTCTCTAACGTATTAGTCCAGCCATTCTAAGGTCCGGTTTACGTTCTGTCCTTTTATTTCCTTTCTTATTTTTATGTATAGGTGTGGCGAAACCAGCCTCGCCACTGTCCACTGGAGGAGCCTGGTTGCTCGCCTGCTCCCTTTAGACTATGGCCCGGCAGTTAAAACCTTTTGTTTTCCCTGCAAAGCATATTCATGCCTTTCTGAAGCCATGCTACCCCAGATAGCTATGCCATGGAGCCCAGCCGTATACTGAAAGACTGTATGAAAGACTTTGGCTCCATGGCGATTGAACTGTATTTATGTGATCTGAGCGCCATTCGGTAGTAATGTGCACTCAGATCTAAGCTATCTGGGGATATGTAGAATGTCTATGTTTTATGGAATAAATGTAACAGTATGTAATTTTATGTCTTTTATTGTATTGTTACTGCCATGTGGTTAATGGAGTCTTGCCTCTGTCCTGGGAGATAATTGGATTACTTCACAGTTATCTCCTGGACAGAGAGGAGGGATTGGGATGTAAATGTGGGTGTGTTTTATGGTTCCCCTGTAACGATTGGTTGTACTGTGTCCCACCCTGTGGGATGTCCCCTTGCATGGGGACTTGCATAAAAGCCAGTGTGTGGCCATTACAGAGAGTTCCTGTTCTAACCCTCAAAGTGAAGTGTCGTCTCATTATTGGGGGAAGGATTTATTGTATGCTGTTCCAGTTTGACTGCTAGGAGAGTAAACCTATTCGTATGGTTCCTATTCAACTGTCTACAGCATTCATATGCTTGAGAGAATTCATATGCTTCTCTGGTTCGGTGATTGTGGTGTCTGCTGCAGTGCTTGGAGTCCTCAGGAAGCGCTAGGAGCATCCTTTAACGGAGGTACCCAGTCGGGGTGCCAGGCGATCCGTTACATTGGTGGCAAGCGGTGGGATGGCGTCCTAGTGCGAGGTAAAGCAGCTCAGAGACACAGTTCGTGGATTTACAAATTGAGGGCAACGCCAGTACCCGTACAGCGACCCTATCTACAAAAGAACCAACTTCAGCAGTGCAAGCATGGCACCCAGCTACACTCAGGAGCAGTATGACAGAGAGTTTACCATGCGGCTGGCTTTCTTTGGACCCAACCCCCCGAAGAAATACGTGCAGCTCGTAAGGAGCCAGGTAGACGAGTACCTGCAGTTCATGGCAGATCCAGCCAAAGGTATCGGCCGCCCTATCCGGTGGCAGAGTGCGTTACGGGGACTCAAAGGTGTACCCCAGGGAACTGAAGGTGTCGTCCTTCCTCCCCAGCGGCAGAGTAAGTCCCAGGGAGCTGAAGGTGCAGTCCTTCCTCCCCAGCGGCAGTGTGTATCCCAGGGAGCTGAAGGTGCAGTCCTTCCTCCCCAGCGGCAGTGTGTATCCCAGGGAGCTGAAGGTGCAGTCCTTCCTCCCCAGCTGCAGTGTGTATCCCAGGGAGCTGAAGGTGCAGTCCTTCCTCCCCAGCGGCAGTGTGTATCCCAGGGAGCTGAAGGTGCAGTCCTTCCTCCCCAGCGGCAGGGTGTATCCCAGGGAGCTGAAGGTGCAGTCCTTCCTCCCCAGCGGCAGTGTGTATCCCAGGGAGCTGAAGGTGCAGTCCTTCCTCCCCAGCGGCAGTGTGTATCCCAGGGAGCTGAAGGTGCAGTCCTTCCTCCCCAGCGGCAGTGTGTATCCCAGGGAGCTGAAGGTGTCGTCCTTCCTCCCCAGCGGCAGTGTGTGTTCTTAGGAGAGGAGACAGTTGGTCCCTCTCCCCAGCGGTCAAGTGAGTCCCAGGGAGCTGAAGGTGTCATCCTTCCTCCCCAGCGGCAGATTGTATCCCAGGGAGCTGAAGGTATCGTCCTTCCTCCCCAGCGGCAGAGTGTCCTGCAGGGAGCAGAGACCGTCAGTCTCGCACCCCAGCAGCAGGACAAAATATTGAAAGGGGAGACAGCTGGTCCCCCTCACCACCAGCAGAGAGAGTGTCAGGGAGAGGAGCCTGCTACCCCCTCTCCCCAGCGGCAGGTTACAGTTCAGAGAGAGGAGCTTGTTACACCCTCTCTCCAGCGGCAGCCTAACCCACCAAGGGGAGATGTTACACCCCCCAACAGTGCAGATGGGACCGTAGTCTTTGCACTTGCAGCACAAGGGGTAGGGACGGTCGGTCCTGTCCCCCAGCCCCAGAGCTGTGTACCCAGAGGGGAGACGGTCGTTCTCCCCCTCCCACAACCAGGCTCCAACCAGGTACTTCAGTGGTAGCGCTGGCACCAGGGCAGAGTACCGCTGGTCTCTGCCCACTCAGCAACCCACCAAGGCAGTCTACCAGCTCCCCGCACAGCCGTGGTGAGGAACCTGGACCTGGACAAGCTGCTACTTTATCCAGGTGGGGTAAACATTTATTGTGGGTGGGAGGTACTGCTGTTTGTGCTTCGTGGGTGGGTTGCTGGACTAACCAGGGCACTGACCGACAGGAGGTCAGATACCCTGTTAGTCTGGATGGTAAAGGGGAGAAATGTGGGGAAACCAGCCTCGCCACTGTCCACTGGAGGAGCCTGGTTGCTCGCCTGCTCCCTTTAGACTATGGCCCGGCAGTTAAAACCTTTTGTTTTCCCTGCAAAGCGTATTCATGCCTTTCTGTAGACTGTTAAAGCCATGCTACCCCAGATAGCTATGCCATGGAGCCCAGCCATATACTGAAAGACTGTATGAAAGACTTTGGCTCCATGGCGATTGAACTGTATGTATGTGATCTGAGCGCCATTCGGTAGTAATGTGCACTCAGATCTAAGCTATCTGGGGATATGTAGAATGTCTATGTTTTATGGAATAAATGTAACAGTATGTAATTTTATGTCTTTTATTGTATTGTTACTGCCATGTGGTTAATGGAGTCTTGCCTCTGTCCTGGGAGATAATTGGATTACTTCACAGTTATCTCCTGGACAGAGAGGAGGGATTGTGATGTAAATGTGGGTGTGTTTTAAGGTTCCCCTGTAACGATTGGTTGTACTGTGTCCCACCCTGTGGGATGTCCCCTTGCATGGGGACTTGCATAAAAGCCAGTGTGTGGCCATTACAGAGAGTTCCTGTTTTAACCCTCAAAACAAAAATTAATGGAGTCTCATTATTGGGAAAAGGATTTGTGTATGCTGTTCCGAGCTGCTAGGAAGAGTAAACCTGACCGTATGGTTCCTATTCAACTGTCTACAGCATTCAAATGCTTGAGAGGATTCATATGCTTCTCTGGTTGGTGATTGTGGTGTGGCTGCAGTGCTTGGAGTCCTCAGGAAGCGCTAGGAGCATCCTTCAACGGAGGTACCCAGTCGGGGTGCCAGGCGATCCGTTACATTGGTGGCAAGCGGTGGGATGGCGTCCTAGTGCGAGGTAAAGCAGCTCAGAGACACAGTTCGTGGATTTACAAATTGAGGGCAACGCCAGTACCCGTACAGCGACCCTATCTACAAAAGAACCAACTTCAGCAGTGCAAGCATGGCACCCAGCTACACTCAGGAGCAGTATGACAGAGAGTTTACCATGCGGCTGGCTTTCTTTGGACCCAACCCCCCGAAGAAATACGTGCAGCTCGTAAGGAGCCAGGTAGACGAGTACCTGCAGTTCATGGCAGATCCAGCCAAAGGTATCGGCCGCCCTATCCGGTGGCAGAGTGCGTTACGGGGACTCAAAGGTGTACCCCAGGGAACTGAAGGTGTCGTCCTTCCTCCCCAGCGGCAGAGTAAGTCCCAGGGAGCTGAAGGTGCAGTCCTTCCTCCCCAGCGGCAGTGTGTACCCCAGGGAACTGAAGGTGTCGTCCTTCCTCCCCAGCGGCAGAGTAAGTCCCAGGGAGCTGAAGGTGCAGTCCTTCCTCCCCAGCTGCAGTGTGTATCCCAGGGAGCTGAAGGTGCAGTCCTTCCTCCCCAGCGGCAGGGTGTATCCCAGGGAGCTGAAGGTGCAGTCCTTCCTCCCCAGCGGCAGGTGTATCCCAGGGAGCTGAAGGTGCAGTCCTTCCTCCCCAGCGGCAGTGTGTATCCCAGGGAGCTGAAGGTGTCAGTCCTTCCTCCCCAGCGGCAGTGTGTGTATCCCAGGGAGCTGAAGGTGCAGTCCTTCCTCCCCAGCGGCAGTGTGTATCCCAGGGAACTGAAGGTGTCGTCCTTCCTCCCCAGCGGCAGTGTGTGTTCTTAGGAGAGGAGACAGTTGGTCCCTCTCCCCAGCGGTCAAGTGAGTCCCAGGGAGCTGAAGGTGTCATCCTTCCTCCCCAGCGGCAGATTGTATCCCAGGGAGCTGAAGGTATCGTCCTTCCTCCCCAGCGGCAGAGTGTCCTGCAGGGAGCAGAGACCATCAGTCTCGCACCCCAGCAGCAGGACAAAATATTGAAAGGGGAGACAGCTGGATCCCCCCTCACCACCAGCAGAGAGAGTGTCAGGGAGAGGAGCCTGCTACCCCCTCTCCCCAGTGGCAGGTTACAGTTCAGAGAGAGGAGCTTGTTACACCCTCTCTCCAGCGGCAGCCTAACCCACCAAGGGGAGATGTTACACCCCCCAACAGTGCAGATGGGACCGTAGTCTTTGCACTTGCAGCACAAGGGGTAGGGACAGTCGGTCCTGTCCCCCAGCCCCAGAGCTGTGTACCCAGAGGGGAGACGGTCGGTCTCCCCCTCCCACAACCAGGCTCCAACCAGGTTACTTCAGTGGTAGCGCTGGCACCAGGGCAGAGTACCGCTGGTCTCTGCCCACTCAGCAACCCACCAAGGCAGTCTACCAGCTCCCCGCACAGCCGTGGTGAGGAACCTGGACCTGGACAAGCTGCTACTTTATCCAGGTGGAGTAAACATTTATTGTGGGTGGGAGGTACTGCTGTTTGTTCTTCGTGGGTGGGTTGCTGGACTAACCAGGGCACTGACCGACAGGAGGTCAGATACCCTGTTAGTCTGGATGGTAAAGGGGAGAAATGTGGGGAAACCAGCCTCGCCACTGTCCACTGGAGGAGCCTGGTTGCTCGCCTGCTCCCTTTAGACTATGGCCCGGCAGTTAAAACCTTTTGTTTTCCCTGCAAAGCGTATTCATGCCTTTCTGTAGACTGTTAAAGCCATGCTACCCCAGATAGCTATGCCATGGAGCCCAGCCGTATACTGAAAGACTGTATGAAAGACTTTGGCTCCATGGCGATTGAACTGTATTTATGTGATCTGAGCGCCATTCGGTAGTAATGTGCACTCAGATCTAAGCTATCTGGGGATATGTAGAATGTCTATGTTTTATGGAATAAATGTAACTGTATGTAATTTTATGTCTTTTATTGTATTGTTACTGCCATGTGGTTAATGGAGTCTTGCCTCTGTCCTGGGAGATAATTGGATTACTTCACAGTTATCTCCTGGACAGAGAGGAGGGATTGGGATGTAAATGTGGGTGTGTTTTATGGTTCCCCTGTAACGATTGGTTGTACTGTGTCCCACCCTGTGGGATGTCCCCTTGCATGGGGACTTGCATAAAAGCCAGTGTGTGGCCATTACAGAGAGTTCCTGTTTTAACCCTCAAAGTGAAGTGTCGTCTGATTATTGGGGGAAGGAATTATTAGATGGTGTTCCAGTTTGACTGCTAGGAGAGTAAACCTATTCGTATGGTTCCTATTCAACTGTCTACAGCATTCATATGCTTGAGAGGATTCATATGCTTCTCCGGTTCGGTGGTTGTGGTGTCTGCTGCAGTGCTTGGAGTCCTCAGGAAGCGCTAGGAGCATCCTTCAACGGAGGTACCCAGTCGGGCTGCCAGGTGATCCGTTACAATAGGTTTACATAGTTTCTGCGTGTTGGACCACACTAGCAGTCGTGACATTACGACAGGGCCATGGATCCTGCAGAACTATGTAAACATGAGATAGCCTGTGAGAACAGGGTGGAGGATATGGACCACAGGTTAGATCAGCTTGCCCAAGCGTTCCAGACCTTGCTCCAAAGAACTGCTTATCTGGAGGCACCCCCGGTACCACCTGTAGCTCCGCCACCTATACCTGCACCTCTAGTATATAAACCTCCATCCATAACCCTTTCACCTCCCCCTCGTTTTGGAAGTGATTCTAAAGAATTCAGAGGTTTCCTTAACCAAATCGAAGAGAGAAAAAAAACACTTCCAGAGCCTTAATGAGAATAAAACAAGGCACCCGCTCTGTAGTTGATTACGCCATTGAGTTCAGGACATTAGCATCTGAGGTTGACTGGACCAATAGTGGTTTGGTGGATGCTTTTTCTGGAGGTTTAGCGGAAAATATACAAGATGAGACTGCAGCCAGAGACCTTCAGGTTAAAGGACCACTCTAGGCACCCAGACCACTTCAGCTTAATGAAGTGGTCTGGGTGCCAGGTCCAGCTAGGGTTAACCCATTTTTTAATAAACATAGCAGTTTCAGATGCTATGTTTATGAATGGGTTAAGCTTTCCCCTATTTCCTCTAGCGGCTGTCTCATTGACAGCCGCTAGAGGCGCTTGCGTGCTTCTCACTGTGATTTTCACAGTGAGCACGCCAGCGTCCATAGGAAAGCATTATGAATGCTTTCCTATGTGACCGGCTGAATGCGCGCGCAGCTCTTGCCGCGCGTGTGCATTCAGCCGACGGGGAGGAGAAGAGGAAGATCGGAGGGGGAGAGCTCTCCGCCCAGCGCTGGAAAAAGGTAAGTTTTAACCCCTTTACCCTTTCCAGAGCCGGGCGGGAGGGGGTCCCTGAGGGTGGGGGCACCCTCAGGGCACTATAGTGCCAGGAAAACGAGTATGTTTTCCTGGCACTATAGTAGTCCTTTAATCTTAATGATTTTATTGCATACATAATTGACATTGATAACAGGCTCAGAGAGAGGGAGAAAAATAAACAGCGTACTAGACGTACAAACTTGTCTATAGCTCCTTGTTTCTCTAACCCAGTGATTGTTAGTCCTGCTCCACCTTCAGAAGCTGAACCCATGTAATTGGGCATTACCAAACTGACTGATGCGGAGAGACAACACAGACGCAACGAGGGGTTGTGCCTGTATTGTGGCAAGAGAGGACATTGAAGGCTTTCATGTCTGGTTTGGCCGGAAAACTTGCACACCTAAGGCACGTTCGGGGACCGACCTTAGGTGTGATGTATATGTCCCCTAAATTGACTAAGAACCGCTTCCTTATAAAGATTACTCTGTCTTGCAAGAAAACTACTGCTCAGTTTGAGGCCATGACTGACTCTGGGGCAGCGGAGAATTTCCTTGATAAGGAATTTTCTGCCAAACATCTTCTGCCTCTAAGGCAGAAAGACAGACCCATAGCAGTAGGGGCTATCGATGGGAGACCTTACTCAAACTCTCATCACACACGAAACAATGCCAATCACTGTCTCAGTAGGTGTCTTACATTCAGAAGAAATGGTTTTCCAAATCATATCTTCGCCAACATGTCCAATAATACTCGGTTTTCCTTGGCTCCAGAAACACAATCCATGTTTAGATTGGGTTGAAGGAGAGATTGTAAGTTGGGGAGAGAGTTGCAGAGGTCATTGTTTAAAACAGGTGCCAAAACGAATCGGTACCATCAGTGTACCTATAGCACCTCCCTTAACCACAGGAATCCCACCGCAATATTTGGACTTAAAAGAAGTATTTCACAAGGTTCAGTCGGAGGTATTACCTCCACATAGTCCCTACAACTGTGCCATTATGGCACTATGCCCCCTAAAGGAGGAGTTTATGCATAATCTCCCCAAGAAACCCTTTGTTTAGAAGAATACATAAAGGATGCTCTCAGAAAGGGTCACATAAGAAGATCCTCTTCACCAGCTGGGGCTGGGTTCTTCTTCGTTTCAAAAAAAGGAGACCTACGCCCTTGTATGGATTATAGGGGTCTAAATAAAATTATGATTTCTGAACTATTTGATAGGTTGAGAGGTGGCAGAGTATTCACAAAACTCGATCTAAGGAGCGCATACAACCTAGTAAGAATTAAGGAAGGGCATGAATGGATGACCGCGTTTAATAAAAGAATGGGACATTATGAATACCTGGTTATGCCGTTTGGCCTATGCAACGCCCCAGCAGTAATTCACGTCTTTATTAATGATGTCCTTAGAGAGTATCTCCACATGTTCGTACTAGTGTATCTAGACGACATTCTAATCTATTCCCCAGACCTAGAAACTCATCACGAACATGTGAGAATCATACTAAGAACCCTGTTAAAGAACGGCTTATACTGTAAGCTGGAAAAATACGATCAGTATTAGGCTCCAAGTTCTCTAGAGGCGTCCTGTCTTATCTGGATGATTGTAAGGGATATGGCCCAGAGTAACGTAGTTAGGTTCATGCTGACCGGGTTCATGCTCCCCGTCTTGTCCGGTTATTTCACAACCGTTTCCCTCACAAGCCGGCTCCTTCCCGCCCGGTGAGCGGTCTTCGAGTGGGGGGTACTGTTAAGGCTCCCGGCCCGCCGCACGGTGCGTCTGTGCCCGACTGGCACAACCGCACCGATAAAGCAAGCTTACCTGCTCGTCGGCGAGCCGGGAACCGCTCCTCCACGTCTTCTGGGCAGTTTGCCCAAACCAAAGATAGCGCTGACCATGCGGTCGCGTCCAAAGGCTCCGCCCCTAAAAGTTATACAGACGTGCGCGTGATGTCACGATGTCAACGCACGCGCACATTCTGGGGTCACCCTCTGACCAATCAGAGCCCACCCTCTGACCAATCAGAGCCCAGAGAGGGATATTTAAATCCCTGATTTGCCCCAGTACCTTGGCCTGTCGTGGTTTCCTGTTCCTGGTTTCCTGAGAGTGTGATTTTCCCTGTGATATTGATATTCTGGTATTCTGATCTTGGCTGTTCCAGGTTATTACGATTTCTGGTTCCCCTGACTTGGCTTGTTTAAACGGTATTGTGTATTTCTGGCTTCCTTAACCTCGGCTTTCCCTTTGACCATTCTCTGTCTCTAACGTATTAGTCCGGCCATTCTAAGGTCCAGTTTGCGTTCTGTCCTTTTATTTCCTTTCTTATTTCTATGTATAAGTTTACATAGTTTCTGCGTGTTGGACCACACTAGCAGTCGTGACAGGCTGTCAGTGTGACTTAAAGGACCATTATAGTGCCAGGAAAACATACTCGTTTTCCTGGCACTATAGTGCCCTGAGGGTGCCCCCACCCTCAGGGACCCCCTCCCGCCCGGCTCTGGAAGGGGAAAAGGGGTTTAAACTTACCTTTTTCCAGCGCTGGGCGGAGAGCTCTCCTCCTCCTCTCCGCCTCCGTTCCGCCCCGCCGGCTGAATGCGCACGCGCGGCAAGAGCTGCGCGCGCATTCAGCCCGTCGCATAGGAAAGCATTTACAATGCTTTCCTATGGACGCTTACGTGCTCTCACTGTGAAAATCACAGTGAGAAGCACGCAAGCGCCTCTAGTGGCTGTCAATGAGACAGCTACTAGAGGATTAGGGGGAAGGCTTAACCCATTCATAATTATAGCAGTTTCTCTGAAACTGCTATAATTATGAAAAAATGGGTTAACCCTAGAAGGACCTGGCACCCAGACCACTTAATTAAGCTGAAGTGGTCTGGGTGCCTAGAGTGGTCCTTTAATTCCGCAATGTAAACATTGCTGTTTTTAAAGAAACTGCAATGTTTTACATTGCAGGGTTAAAACTAAAATACCAGGCGTTACTTAGGTGGTAATTTAAATCACCAAACATTTGCAGACATTTTTAATAAATGTTAACTTTTATTTTTCATTATGTCATTTGAGTCTAATTGAATAACATTCATTCAATAAAGTTAATTGGGAGTATAACCCATCTACTTCAGGGGTTCTCTTAAAAGAGTACTCCACCCCTTTTTTTTTGTCTGTTTAAAAACACTTCTAGAATAAAGCTTACCTTTATTGGGCGCTGGGCAAAGCTCACGGCACTGCTTGGCATGCCCCCTTGTGACGTCGTGAGAGTCACAGAGAGGTCCAATCAAAGAATTCTCATTGAGAAGCCTTTGATTGGACTTTATTTACCAGTTCAGAGCACATGCGCACACTGACCCTTCAAGGGAAGGAAAATAAATAAAATAGCAGATGGGATAGGGAGACAAGCTTTGCCACTTAGTAACGGAACTTGGATAAAAGTATTGTATTAAAACAGGATTGCTGTGTATTATATATACAGGTATGTCAATGGGTTGAACCAAATATTCTGTCATCTGTCATCGTTTACTGCTTACAAACCTAAGTATGCGCTTGAAGGTATGATACTGGCATGAGGTAAAACAAGCAAATATGTTAACATTAAGATAAAACACAAGAAAACACAATGAGGGTGCGCCTAAAACGTATAATAAAATATATATTATAAAATGATGATAAAATATAATATGTGGCAGTTTAGCACTGATTTTTTCTTTTTGTTTCTTCAAATATGTTAACATGTAGTATTTATGAATTAGTTTATTAAGTCACACAAATTTAAAAGGACTATAATTTCCTCATTTAGTACTGCAAAACACTCTGCAGATTATTTCATGTCTTACTCAATAATGTCAAAAAGCAAGATGCTATTATTATTGTATATGGGCTGTGTTAAATGTTATGCATGTACCCCTCCCCATAATAGTACGCCCTCTGGTTTTTTTTACTTACCCGGTCGCCGGTGATCCCACGCAGGCGATCGCGGTTGGGGAGACTCACCTGGGATCCCAGGGAATCCCCCGCAGCGGATCCTGCCTCCTCTGGCCCCCCCCCGGCCATGTGAGAGTGAGGTCCTTGTGAGGACCTCACAATCACATGGCCGGGTTAGCTGGCTGCTGCATTGCCAGCAGGGGGACTGCCTGTAATGACAGTTAGTTCCCCTGCTGGCTGGAAATGAAATAAAATAAAGTTAAAATCAGTGTAAAAAATAATAAATTATATATATATACACATACATACATATATATACACACACACACACACACACTGTCTAGGTGTATTTTACAATATATTTTAATATCAAATTACATGTAGACTGATACAGATTAAATATTATATATATATATATATTACAAAAAATATGTAAATACGTTAAATAAAATTAAATAATAAAAAAATATAGATGTGTGTTATTTCGTTCTAACTGTATTGTGATAATATATATATTTATATCAAAATACACATAGAACGAAATAATATATATATCTATATATACATAAATATATACGTATATTGTGTGTGTGTGTGTATATATATATATATATATATATATATATATATATATATATATATATATATATACACACACACACACACACACACACACACATACACCCCTATATATAAATAATGTAAAAAAAATATTATATATATATATATATATATATATATATATATATATATATATATACACACACACACACACATACACACACACACACACACACACACTAATTCTACATATATATTTATGTAATATTTTTACATAATTAGGTATCTTAATTAATTACAAATTAGCGGGACCTGCCTGACAACCCATGCCGAAAGTATAGGGAATTTAATTTGCTAGCACTATATTTAACCCTATAACTTTCCAAGACACCATAAAACCTGTACATGGGGGGTACTGTTTTACTCGGGAGACTTCGCTGAACACAATTATTAGTGTTTCAAAACAGTAAAATGTATTACAACGATGATATCGCCAGTAAAAGTGACGATTTTTGCATTTTTCACACACAAACAGCACTTACACGGACGATATTATTGCTGCGAAGTCCCCCGAGTACAACAGTACCCCTCATGTACAGGTTTTATGGTGTTTTCAAAAGTGACAGCGTCAAATAGAAGGCTAGTGTTTCATTTTTTTCACATTAAAATTCGCCAGATTGGTTACGTTGCCTTTGAGACCCTATGGTAGCCCAAGAATGAAAATTACCCCTATGATGGCATACCATTTGCAATAGTAGACAACCCAAGGTATTGCAAATGGGGTATGTCCAGTCTTTTTAGTAGCCACTTAGTAACAAACACTGGCCAAAATTGGCTTTTTGCATTTTTCACACACAAACAAATATAACGCTAACTTTGGCCAGTGTTTGTGACCAAATGGCTACTAAAAAAGACTGGACATACCCCATTTGCAATACCTTGGGTTGTCTACTATTGCAAATGGTATGTCATTATGGGTGTAAATTTCATTCCTGGGCTACTATACAGTCTCAAAGGCAACGTAACCAATCTGGCGAATTTCAATTTCAAATGTAACGTTCTGTATTTGACCCTGTAACTTCCCAAAACACCATAAAACCTGCACATAGGGGCTACTGTTTTACACGTGAGACTTTGCTGAATACAAATGTGTATTTTATTGCAGTACAAGAAAACAGTATTATGATATTGACAGTTAAGATATCATGTAGAACTAAAAAAAAAAACTAAATTTCTTATTTTCTCCCATTAAGAGATTGAGATACAATTATTTAAGGTAAATTACATCTGTTTGAAAGTGAAACCAGTTTTTTTTTTTCATGCAGGCTCTGTCAATCATAGCCAGAGGAGGTGTGGCAAGGTTGCATAAACAGAAACAAAGTGATTTAACTCCTAAATGACAGTAAATTGAGCAGTGAAATTGCAGGGGAATGATCTATACACTAAAACAGCTTTATTTAGCTTAAGTTATTTAGGTGACTATAGTGTTCCTTTAAAAAAATAATGTCAAGATGCAAATACTATTTCTAATAGGGAGTGTAGAAGAATTTTATTTTTATTTGTTTTAAACAGTGACACCTACCGTGTGCCTCACCTTTTGGGAAAAACATACTCATTTGATTTGCAGAAAGCTCACTTATTTCTTAGTATTGAAGAGCATAATAAGACTGGTAGTTATAAGCAGCTGAATATGGAAACAAATAACCGCAGACTAGTTTTACCACACAGGTTTACTTATCCTTTCACGTGTTCTGACTGGCTATCCTTAGTGAATTTTTCAGATCTTACAGCACTGCCCATATATCCTGGTAGCACATGGTGTGTTATATAACATGTATACGTTCGACAATAACATGCAGCAATAATACCTTCTACTTGTTATGGGTCTCTAAAATTCCCTTTTAATTACGCTGTTATTGGAAGATTGTTTTCTTAGAATACTTGTTTAATCAATATGACCATTAATAACAAGTCTGACTAAACAGTCATTGTAAAGTGTATGAGCTGTATGTCTCTGGCCAGGGAGGCCATGTCCTTAGCACCACGTGACAGTGTCACAGAGCAGTGGGTATGACCCAGGCTATGAGAGATAGACCCAGGCTTCCCGCTGTGTGAGTCTCTACAGAACGCTGCGCCGTGTAACATTCGGGAATAGAACGTCAGATACTCACAGGGCTCACACTGCGGCCAGGCTCCACACTCACTGAGCCCAGTCCCCTGCTGCACTGTATGGTCGCCTTCCGCTGACAGGCCAGCCGCACTGCCCCAGGGACATCTCTCAGCACCCGGCTCAGGCCCCACATAATGTCACTGGACACAAACGATAGTAGTCGGCTCCCCTTTCAGGGCTTGATTGGTTGTGTCTGAAGTTGGTGAAGACACTCTGGGTTCAAACAAAACTTGAGTCTGAGGACACCTATTGGCAAACGTTTGAACAACCGGTGCTTAGATATTCATAGGAAAAGCTTTAATCACTGTCGTGTGAGATTTACAGGGAATTTAATAGAAAATGACTATTGTATGCCAGAATAGCCAAACTGAAAAAATTGATGGTTTCAAGTATTTTGGCCTAAACTGAAAATCGCTTTGAACTCCTAGCAGTTTACACGGCTGTGTATAGCCATGGGCGTAGCTTACTGTGCACTATGGGGAAAGTCCCCCCTCTCGATGTGTAATAAAACCTGGAAATAAAAGTTTTTCCTTATCTTGAATACATCCTGAAGCTAAACTCCCAGTGCTGCTCTTCCACGCACGCTCCTGACGTCATTGGTGACATGCCTGGCCCAATGACAAGAGTCTCATAGAGAAGCCTATTAATGGATCATTTTGCTGGATCAGAGCGTATGTGTGCGCTTTGGGCTGGCGAGCAAGTAGTGGAGTTGAGGAGGGTTTCTTTAAAAAAAAAAAAAAATAGACAAATGTGCATGGAGAGAGGCAGGAGGTAGCACAAAGTGGGTGGCTGGTAACTGAGAACTAGCTTCCCCTTGCATGTGCTCTGCCTGCAAGGCGAAGATTTTTTATGTCTCTTGTCAGCATGCAGTGCTCTCTGACAACACATAATTTATGCACAGAATTGATATTAGGCAGCCCGGAACAGAGTTCCAGGCTGACTAAGTTACATGTGTTTGGGGTGCACCTAGCCTCTATCACACAATTAACCATATCTCTATATGTGCAGTGTTGCAAGCAGAAATACTGACTCCTCTTGATGGTAAGGTATGTCTTTTTGCTGATGATACTAAGATATGTAACAAGGTTGATGTTTTTCAGGAGGGATAAGCCAAATGGCAAATGATTTAGGTAAACTTGAAAAATGGTCAGAGTTGTGGCAACTGACATTTAATGTGGATAAGTGCAAGATAATGCATCTTGGACATAAAATCCCAAGGGCAGAGTACAAAATATTTGATAGAGTCCTAACCTCAACATATGAGGAAAGGGATTTAGGGGTGATTATTTCTGATGACTTAAAGGTAGGCAGACAATGTAATAGAGCAGCAGGAAATGCTTGGTTGTATAGGGAGTGGTATTAGCAGTAGAAAGAGGGAAGTGCTCATGCCATTATACAGAACACTGGTGAGACCTCACTTGGAGTATTGTACACAGTACTGGAGACAGTTTCTCTAGAAGGATATTGATACTTTAGAGAGAGTTCAGAGAAGGGCTACTAAACTGGTTCACGGATTGCCGGACAAAACTTACAAGGAAAGGTTAAAGGAACTTAATATATATATAGCTTGGAGGAAAGACGAGACAGGGGGGATATGATAGAAACATTTAAATACATAAAGGGAATCAACACAGTAAAGGAGGAGAATATATTTAAAAGAAGAAAAACTACCACAAGAGGACATAGTCTTAAATTAGAGCGGCAAAGGTTTAAAAATAATACCAGGAAGTATTACAGCCGCGACTCCTGCAACCGTGGACTGAATGGATAACTTATGGGCCAGTGCACAGCCGCACCGGCCCAGGTCCGCGGTTCACGATGCTGGCAGGAGGGGAGAGCAGTGCTGTGCTGCTCCTCTCCTGCCTGTGTGTAGCATGGCTGAGTGGTCTTCAGAGTTTATTTACATTGGAAGCTAGGAACACCTCCAGTTGCAGTCACTCAGACTGCCACAAGAGGGACTTCCGAGTTCATCAATGCCTAATTCGCATTCATCATGTTTGACGTCTTCACGCTTGGGTGAACACATCAAACGTGATGACAGGAGATAGGAGGCACTGTGAACACGCCTCCTATGCCCTGTAGTAACCCGGAGCCTGTCAGCAAACAGAGCCGACAGTGTGGGAGTTAACATCTCCTGCACACAGCATCGGTTCGAGCTGACAGGCTGAAGACCGGAGACCGAGCAGGTCCAAACTGTAAGTAAACTTATTTTGTGAATGTGGGTGAATGAGTGTAGGTGAGAGAGTGAGTGAGTGTAGGTGAGAGTGTGAGTGTGGATGGGTGAGTGTGGGTAACTGAGTGAATGTGGATGAGTAAGTAAGTGAGTGTGAGTGAGTGACTGTGGGTTGGTGACTAAGTGTGGGTGAGTAAGTATGTGAGTGTGGGTGAGTGAGAGTTTGAGAGTAATTGTGAGTGAGATTGAGTGTGAGTGAGAGAGAGTGTGTGAGATTGAGAGAGGGAGATTGAGAAAGACTAAGTGAGAGAGTGTGGGTGAGTAAGTGAGTGAGTGTGGGTGAGTGAAAGATTGTGAGTGAGTGAGAGATCAAGTGTGGGTGAGTGAGAGTGAGTGAGAGATTTAGATTGTGTGTGAGAGTGTGAGTGAGATTGAGTGAGTGTGAGAGAGTGGGTGTGAGTGAGAGAAATAGATATAGATAGATAGCTATAGATAGAAATGTATAGATAAATAGATGTAGATAGATAATAAGATAAATAGATAGAAACAGAGAGATAGATAGATATAGATTGTGTGTGTATGTTTAACAATATTTATTTAAAATTTGTGTGTTTGTATACAAACACTATATATAGTTGGTTTAGGATGGTTGCCGTAGGAGGGGGGCATAGACAGCAAGCTGAGCTGTCCGTCAGCTCAGCTTGCAAACACGCATACAGCGCACATGCGCAGTAGATCGCTCAGTTCTTTCATAGAGCGGCATTCAGAGAGCGATGATGCTTCTCAAAGAGAAGCGTCTGATTGGGCCCTGCTATTTTGTCATTTTGATGCAAAAGGGGGCGTGGCCTGATGAGGAGCTCGGCTCTGGAACGGAGGTAAGTTTTAATGATAAAAAGGGCTCTATTTTTTTTTTTAAATGTCAAACTAATATAAAAGCAAGAAAGAAGGCTAGGGAACCTGTCCTTGTTGCTTTTATATGTTAACTATAGTGATCATTTAACCCTTATGGGCATGAAGTTCATCAGAGCTTCACAGGTTGCCACTGGAGATATCTTCCATTCCTCCATCTTTGGAATTTTCCTTGACTCCAAGACATACCAGGAAAATCATTCTGCACGCAAAGATCTCAGCTTACAAGCCAACCCTACAAATGTGCCACACCAAGCTGTCCCATGTGTTTAGAATGGACTGGATCGAAGACTCCCAACATAATGGAAATAGGGTCTTTCAATTTTTCAAAAACTGGGAACCCTACATAGAAACCATGGACATTGACCAAAGTGCACTTATTAAAAACAACCAAACAACATTCCAATGTACTACCTGATATTCCTTGAGAATACTTTGGGGCGGCCCCCAGTCAGACTCTAACGGTATGGAGGAGTGGAGCTCCTGAACATGGGTATCAATGGGAATGCTGCCTCATCCTCTTTTCCTAGCTTGGGGTCAATAATCCTATATTTTACCAAAGGAGGGAACTTGCTCAACCTACCTACGCTATCCTCCCTGAACTGTCACATGGTTACTGTTTATTTGTATTTGATTTAAACAGATTCTCTGGCGTCTCCACAATAGGGTCCCCACTTTCAGATATACATTAGGTATGACACTTTGTTCTGTTCTTTCTTTTTTGTTTAATTTATTTAAATGGAATCGGTCATCTAGGGTATTCCGAAATCTAATACCGACACCTCTACCTCTGTTGACACAATGCATAGTTTCCAATAAAAAAAATGGATAATAAAAATACAATCTCTAGATGCTCACTTTTATGAAATGTGCTGTGTACACCTATGAGTTAGGGATATCTCAACAATATGTTCAGACTCTAAAACGAGCAGTATCAGCCTCTCTTTGAGAGTGAGATGTTTTCAGACTCACTAATTTAAGACTGGATCCACAATCTTTGTGTCTGGACTGATTGTACATCCATCTCATCTACCTGATGAGCATGATCAGTGGAGACTCATCCATACAGATGTTTGAGGGAGTTTTTGTTGCAATAAAATAAATAAATCTGACAGTAATAAGTTAATAACAATATTAACCTTTGCTGCGATTGATAGCTCTCTGGATAAACAGATCAAAGTAGTGGGGCATTTGTTGAAAAATGCCTGTGTTTCCCTTGTTTCTAGTGTTGAACTCGACATGAAGTCTCATTGGATCAATGGGGAACTCCATGGAGTTAAATGGGCTCCGTGGATGGAACCTTGTGCCACCATCTTAAAACATAATAAAACATAATTTCCACCATAATCAAACAGATACCAGAGATCAGATGGGGATTTGACCCCCACAGACAAAAGCTTATCGGATACCACATGCCCCATACGCTAGATGGCTCCAAGGTACCTGCGCTGGTACACATAGACAAGTGAATACACACCCAAAACTTCCACAGTTAAGGCCCACGTTACAACATCCCAGCCCAATATAACTTAAAAAATATGCGAAATGTATCTCAACAGTATATTCAATGTAGAATGTTCCTGTGACCCATGTACATAGGGTTGCGGTAATTTTAACATGTCTGTCTTTTCATCGCATGAAAAATAAAGATTTACAAAAAAAACATAATTTCCTCACAATTAAAGAAGAATTGATGCAGCTGCCAAAACACCAGAACATATGCATAGTTGGCTGTGCTCCTTGAATATTCATGTCTGTACCCCCCTGAACCTTAGCTCAGATATAATAAAATAATGTTTACACCTCCTTTAACTCTCATTCATCCACAAACATATGGTAGGATGATCAACTTTAACAAATGTTTATTTTAATTGATATCTATCATCACGTTACCTTACCCAGAGGTATATTTTGAGATCACGTCAAAGCACTAGCTTTGTCCATTCCTTGATCAACTCCGCAACCTAAACATGGGGTACATATGGAGGTTTACTTTAATTTATGCCTGTAATTAAAGGACCAGTTACTGTACTAGCTTTAAAAAAAGGCATACAGTGCTCTAATATCCCAGCCTCCAATATTTGTGTGCACATCCAGGCAAATTTAGTTTCTTCACTACCCTATGGCCGATACCATAGGGATAGTTCACCAAAGTTTATTCCTGCCAGTTCTAATCATTTC